TGGTAGAAATCAATAGCTGTCCAGGAATAAGACATGCAGTGGGAATCTGATGTCATATCATGCTTGAGTGTTTTAAGAATCCCATAAATTCTGGTGCATGCTTTTTCCTGGGTTAATAGGACATCACGATTGTTCTGTTTCAGGTATGTTGTCATCTTATGAACAATAATGTAACAGAAGATCTTCCCTTAAATCCCTGTAACCCAAGACTACCATGTGTAAATGGATATTTTCCTCCTATTGACACTATTTGTTGTTCATTTTCTTTGGCTCACTCTGCCTTGGTTATACCTCAACTCAAATGTGTCACTTACAGCCAGGTTAAATCTGATTTACCTCATGATCTCACTTCAGAACAGAAAATTTAAAGTTTGAGTGACACTTTGCCCTTTTCTGTCTCGTACCGCCTGACCTTTGCTTTTTTCTAGCATGTCAAGTCATGTAAACCTTCACACACAAACACAGATCTGATGTTTCCTGTTTTTTTTTTTTTTTACGTTTTTGCTAGCTTGCTTTGTTTTGGTGTGTATAAGAATGTTTTAATAATTCATTTTAATTAATATTATTTTATTTTTGGGTAGGATTGTTCAGCGACAATGACCCACATTCAGCAGCACACCTGCTCCAGTCTTGCTGATACTAATTTCACACACAAAAAGATCAACTCCCAGACACTTGTCCAACCTACTAACACAAACACACACCACAAGCACACACACACACACACACACACACACACACACACACACAAAGGATGAGTCATTGCTGGATCCATAATTAGGACATTTTAAGCATATTATGTGCGTCCCGCTTACACGCTTCTCTTTTCCTCCTAAATACCTTCTGCTCCTTGTTTCCTCCTAATTCCCCAGCCTGGATAAATATAGAAAGTTGTGTCTACAGACTCTCATTGTCCACCCATTTTTTTTCTTTTCTTCTGCCTCTGCTTTTTCACACCTTTTCCTTTGACAGATGAGGTGTGGGCACTGAGTTAAAACCGTGAGTTACAGAGACATGGGAGAGAGAGGAGAGAGTAGGGGTTTGACAGTCAAGTTATCTGATGCTTTGGAATGTGTGAAATGTGGAACTGTGTAAGAAAGGGGGGGAGGGGTTGAACGTGTTGAAAGACACAGTACAGAGTGTGTAGGATGAAGAATGAAGGATTTATCTTCTCAATTCACATATCCACAGAAGAAAATATACTATTATCTTTATTTTAGTCATTTTTCATTGAAGTTCTATAGTTAAAGGTTTGTTTTGAATAAAAACAGGTACAATTCTTATTAAAAGCCCAGACTGTGTGGGTGTCTTCAAACACTTGTGCTATTTTGGCTCATCTGTTAGTAGCAGTGAAAGTAGTCCAAAAGGGTTCAGTTGGGTGATGACTAATAAATCCGCTCTCTTCTCAGCCACTCACACCATTGCTCTGTAACAGCTGTGCCAATCACAATGATGTGTGACAACAACGACTTAACAAATGAAAGGACGCTTCCTCAGGAAATTATACTTCTGTGCAGATAAACACACATTGAGGCGTCATATCCTAAATGTGAGTCAGCACTGCTACATTTTAAGAATGAAATATGTTCTGCTTTGGAAATCTGCTCAGGAAGTTGAAAAGGAGGTCATGACGCACTGGATTAATGGGGCTCAGTTATTCAATATCTCTCCCCCCAGCTCCACCCTCTCCCCCACAAAAAAAAGTTGAGTTAGGATATCATATTTATAACCGTCCTGTTTGGTGTGTGTAAAGGTGTGTGTGGTTATACTGTAGCCGCCAGGTGTCACTTGTTATCTAATCAGGGTAAACACCTTTGATGTCTGTGCATAATTGCACCACACACTTATCAATTCAAGCAGCTTTATCACTCTATCTGTCCTACTGCATGCATTCTGTTGGAGCGATTTAATCAGGAGGAGGTTTTTATACAGTATAAAACAGCGTTTAACAGGTGCTGCAAGAGTCATCTCACCTGTATTAATGATGTATTGAAAAACAGCACGTATCATCCAGAACACAAATAAACATGTGAAATCATGCACGCTCCCTGAAGGTGAATGTGGACAGATGGGCCTTCAAGAGCCTGGCTGGTTGTAGCCATTGTAAATCATGAACTGCTAATGACGTTGAGTCCCTTTTAAGCTGTAGTTGATAAAATCACAAAAAGCAGATATTGGCATTGGCAGAAACACATGTAGATTCATTTTCTACCTTAATTATTAACTGTCCTTTTTGCACTGCCTCATTTAAAGGAACCTCTCATATTCTTCCCTCTGGATCAGCACAAGAACATAGAAAACTGTTTCTTGAGAAATGAAGAAATCTTGGACAGCGCTCTGAACAACAGTGGTGCCTACAGATAGTGTCTTGTAGCCTTCCCACATCCTCTTTGCTCCGTGTCTGATCAGAGCCGTGATAGCGGGGCCGCCATTATTAATACGCTCATCATCCAGACAAAGTAAGACGGCGAGAATATACTGATTGAAGCGCAAAGTGAAGGGAAAAAACAATCTCAAATATAATAAAACGTGCAGCAAAAAGTAACTGAGAAGTGATCGGTCGTACGTTGTCAAGAGATTGTTGTCATAGAAACAGGACAGACATGCAGCTCTTTCGCTTCCGAGCACACAGCCAGCGCTTTTCTGCCTGGAAACAACGCTAGGTGGCCACGGGGCCAAAGTAGCTTCTTCACTTCAAACTGTAACAGATTAGCTCTCAAGCTACTGTATAAACTTACATTTCATTCTCGAGTTAAATGTATTGTTTGAAAAATGCCATCTTATGCAAACACGCCGCATGTGTGTAAACACTTGTTCTTAATTAGTTATGTAAAACAATTTCAGACCCCAAAAACCTGCCTCTACAGATAAAATAATTCAAAAGAATCTAATCTATTCGACAATCAGAGGATGAAAAAAAAGTACAAAATTTCATGTTTAATAGGAGCAGCAAAGCGCTTAGAGGGCTTCACTTCACATTCAACCCTTCAGTGGCAGCACTGAACTGTGTGGGAGGTTTTTCTTGTCTGTCCAAATCAAAATTCAGGTCACATTGTGTCCATGACTTTAAAAAAATAAAACTTCAGTACTTTTTTTTAATACCGATCTCTGTAAACTTAAAGGAATGTTTCCTCAGCATCACACGCTCACAGATCACTCAGGGATCATCTGCATCTCTTTGATCCAATTCAAATTAAAACTAACAAAAGTGTTTTCAAAGTATTATTTTGGTGCCGTTCATGTGCGTCATGGACAACCACAGTGTGAAACTTTTTGAACGTGTGACTCAGTTGAGAGCCTAAATTGGAAACAAAGGGTTATGCTTCTTCATCCATGTTTAATCCATCCAAGGGAGTAGTTAAGGCTGTTGTTAATTAGATAACTGACTTGAAATGGAGGTCAAAGGCAACCCTTAAATTTGACCAATGTTTTGGAGTAGTCAGGCAGAAGAGAATTACATTTAATTTGTGGTTAACTTAGGCGTGTGTGTCGGTTTTTGGGTGTGTGCGTGACAAAACTTTCTCCCACCAATTAGCCATTACACAGCTGTCCTTTCCCCTCCCTTCTCTGCTCCTCAAAGGGTTACAGTTGAACAATAATCTGCTTTAGACACTGTCTCACTACATCACTAGTCTTCAATATCAGTGCCTCATACTTTCAGAAACACACACACACACACACACACACACACACACACACACACACAAACACTTACACACACACATGCATGCATAAAGGCATGCAGGTCACAGAAAAAACAGGAAGAATAAGATTCAAACACTATTAATTACTCTGCTTCTCTGCTTCTCTCATTCAGAGCTCTGTTGATGTATGTTCGTGTGATGTGTTGTGGCACTGTGTGACGTTTCACCTCTTTGAAGTAGGCAAAGCCCCGAAAATATTCTCCTTATGTAACTGTCCTTGTTGCAGGGGCGCACGAGGCTGTGGTAGGCAAAACGTAAGGGTGGCGAGTATACTTCCGAATGTGTGCTTGTGTTTGCGTGTGTGTGAATGCAGTGTTTAAGCACTCATCTGTAGTTCCTTGCCGGCTGCGTGTTTGAGAGACAGCTTATGCTTTCTCCTCTGTGAATTATGCAGACCAAGGATGAGGGTGCAGGGCGGGGAAGATCAGGCTGTTACACAGCTTTTGAATCGAAAGAGTCAAAATAACCTGCTGAAAACACATCCACATGACAGAACGGGAGGAAGAGGATGAGATTGGAGTGGCTATAGAGAGAAAGACCGGAGGAATGACGACAAGAAGTGAGACGTAGAGAAGAAGAGGAGGTTTTAAGAGGAGGGGGAGGGTTTAAGAATGGATTGAATTGAGACCACTACAAAGGAAAGACACACTGGGGAATAAGGGGAGTATTGAACTCTGGGGTTTGCAGGGTTTTCCTGTGTAGTGTTTTTAATGCAATGCTCAGTGGGTAAGAGAGTATGCAAAGAGCAACCAAGAATTATGCAGAAAGAATCCCTTTGAAAGCTTGGCAATAACCTTTCTATCTACAATACTTACTCCTGTTCACACTCTTACCCCCTGCTAATTAGAGATAATTACCCTGAATAGTTTATGATAAGCCGAAACGAGCCATTTTATTGGTGAAACTCAGTAGGGGGCTTAGTTTGCTGTCTCCCACACAGGCACATATAACACACACACACACACACACACACGGACACTCACGACATTGTCAAAAAAACTGAGCACAAAGCACAAGGTGGGCTGGATTTTTTTGGCAGGGGCCTCTACTTATAATGAGAAAGCAATTAGTGTCCTGAAAATAGAATCATGAGGCGTCAGAGGTGTTGCGTTCTTTTCCCCTCAATACCTCAAGTATTTCTCACAGGATCTTTCCTATTTTATTTTTCTTTTCTCTTTCCTACATCATTTACTTTCCTCTTCCCGCTTTACATTCTTGCCCTTTTTCTGTATCGTTTATGCCTGATTTTCTTTCTCCATCCCTCTTTCTGCTGCTCCCACCTGTTTTCATCTGCAGGTATCGGTCAGGGAGTGCCGGTGGTGGCTCTGATCGTTGAGGGAGGCCCTAATGTGATCTCCATAGTGCTGGAATACCTCAGGGACACGCCCCCGGTCCCTGTGGTGGTGTGTGACGGCAGCGGCAGGGCCTCAGACATCTTGGCCTTTGGACACAAATACTCTGAGGAGGGAGGGTATGTGCTCACAACATCATGTCACATAATGCTGTAGTAAGAAAACAAACACTCATGCAAACACTTTTAGCTACAGTACAGTTTTAAGAAATTAAAGTTGGACTGCAGACTTTTTTTCCTTAACGTCACTGGTAATCCAGATTTCCTATCATGAGTGTTTTTAATTATCAAAGTGCTTTAGATGTAACAAGCAAATAATTGTATGTTTACTGTATTTGGCAGAAAACATTAATGCAGCAGCTTTTGTTTTGTATTCAAATATATGGCATCTGGGTTTAAACTTAAAATGACTCAGAAATTTGCCTAAGCATTACTTTGGGTAAAACATGGTAAAACAAAATAATTTGCATAGCTCAAATAAACCCAGTTACAGTTGGAGGTACACTCACAGCATCACATTTTACCAAGGACTTAGCCATAGCAGCGCCTTGGGCCCCAGTCAACCTTGGTTTCACTAAGTGACAAACAAATCTAATTTACCATCTTCTTACCTCTATCTGACCCCTTCCCTGACACTCTCTCTCTTTTGCCCTACACCTCTCTGCCTCTACAGCATTATTAATGAGTCTCTAAGAGACCAGTTGCTGGTGACCATACAGAAGACTTTCACCTACAGCCGCACACAGGCCCAACATCTGTTCATCATCCTTATGGAGTGCATGAAGAAGAAGGAGCTGGTGAGTCTCAGTTTCTCGAATGCACATAAACACACATGCACCTATTTGCACATGAGCAAGTATGTTTGCTGATGCAGGGAGATCAAACATGATCCATGCATACACAAAACAGTAGAGCACCAAAAGAATCCAATAGACAGATGCACATCATGCTCACATACTGTACACACAGATGGTCATTGCTGTCTCTACTGTATATCATATCCTGGAGAGTGAAACAGTGTGAAGGATGAACAAAAGGAATTGAAGCGATCATGAAACTGTCATTAAGGACGCAATTATTAGCCCATCTTTTATTCATGACATGTAATGTTAAGTGGATGTAAATGTATTCAGATGATGTTTGAGACCAAAATGGCTTCCATCTCTGGGGTCCAAAGCCCTTTGGAAGTGCTCATGTCAAGGCTCACATCATGTCAAGTGCGGCTGTCTCACACATCCCACTCACCCCACCCACCCACCCCCGAGGTGGAGTCTCCGTCCCTTTGGAGCGCTGTCAGTCACATGAAACCAACCTTCTAGTAATGCTGTTAAAAGCCGTCTGTGTGGAGGGTATGTGTGTTGATGTGACTGTGTGTTTTTGTGGCTTTCCTGACTGCATTTGTCTGTAAGTTAAATATGTGTTTATGTGTCTGCGTGTGTGTGTGTGTGTGTGTGTGTGTGTGTGTGTGTGTGTGTAATAGTAAATTTGATCCTGGCAGGGGACGTGATTCCTTCGTGCCATAGTCATTGTAGTGTATAACAAGGAAGTACCAAAGCAGTGCATTCAGTGCTCTTTCAAACACCCACACACACAATACATGCACACACATTCACAATATAAATACATACCACATTCACTATGCTACAACAAACAGCTTGCAGCTTTAACTATGTAATAGTTCTGCAGCATTACAAACTTATTTACCACTTAAATACTTACTCTCGTCTCAACTCACTTTCGACAGAGTGTACAATGGCTTTTATTACATAGAGCCTTTATTTGCCAGATCACTGACAGTCTGCACTGCAGGCTGTCAGTGCCATTCTGCTCATAAATGTGTGATATGTAGTATAGACGCACACCAACAACTTTTGGAGTAAAACTGATAAACAAGAATACAGTTTAGCCTGTTATAACGTATTTACTGGCAGGTAAAAAAAACAAAAAAAACAGGAATTCATTATGTGAACATCTTCTCTGTTTGTAAAAAAAAAATGAAGTTAATCATTTTATTTTGTGTTTCATTTATTGATTCTAAGACACTAACTCATACTTAAGATAAATCAAATAATAGCACACAAAAACATGCACATTTGCACACACGCATAACACATGTAGTATTTTGCAGGCAGCCTTAGCATCAGTCATGGCTGTGTAGCGTGTAAGTGGATTGATTGCATCCTCAGTGGGGTTCCAGTGGCTGACTGATGCTCACACTGATGGATCTTCTGAGCACAATAAAGCACAGCAGAACAATGTGCTGTGAATCATTCAACAGGAGCAGCTGTGGAGGCCAGATAATCTGATGCTGCCTCTGTCTGAAATCTGTTGCCTCTGATATATTGAAACTCAGAACCCAAAATATGTTTTTGCAGTGCTTTATAGATCCAGCAATTCTTGGCTTCACCTGGAATTATTATATTTTGGCATTAAACAGACCATTTAGGTTTCATTCCATTTTCTGCCAAAGGATCAATCAATCAATCAATCTTTTTTTATATAGTGCCAATTCATAACAGATGCTATCTCCAGACACAAGACTTGTTCAATTGATAAATATGTATGTAGAGTGCAGAGCTGTTAAATCAGTGGGATATGTTTTATATATCCAGGATGCTCTATTATATAAAGTACAAATGTACAATGCAATTTGTTTGTATCTGAAAGAAATAGTCATCTCCGTATTGTAACCCAAACAATATCTCCAAATGACATAAATGTATTTAATGATGGCATTCTTCTAACTTCTAGTGTCCCATTCAAACTGTTGTCAGAGGACACATTGAGAGTCTCAAAATAAAGTTGATTACAGTTTTGGGGAAAAAGAACGAGATATGAAGATGTTACTTCTCTGCCGACTGGCACCCCCTTTCTCTGTCACTTACGGGGGTAGTGTCACAAACCTCGTATTCATCAGGCTGATAGGCATCAGAGGGGTTCCCTCCTGATCGCACCACAGGATCAGACATGGATTGAAGTATGTGTGTGTGTGTGTGTGTGTGTGTGTGTGTGTGTGTGTGTGTGTGTGTGTGTTCGCGCATATGTGTGTGTGTGTGTGTGTGTGTGTGTGTGTGTGTGTGCGCATATGTCTGTGTGTGTGTGTGTGTGTGTGTTCGCGCATATGTCTGTGTGTGTGTGTGTGTGTGTGTGTGTGGGATTGCAGTAACTGCAGGAGAAGAAAGAAAAATTAGCAAACAGAGAACTGCCAATGTTCCATTTAAAGCCTGAAACATCCTGTCATGGCTCAACTTAAAACCCTCAAAAACTCAAAGGACCAAACACATTTCTCGATGTGCTAAACCAATTAGATCGGAGAAAACAGCCCATGTACAGTGTGGTCTATCAGCTAGCTAGAAGAACAGATGGTCGTACAAATACCCTGATTTGGATCCACAGTGACATGTTTATAAATGTGTAGTCTTGAAGGCTTTATTTGTGTCCCTTCAACATCCTAACTGACTAGACGTAAGCGCTTTTAAACCCAAAATATTCAAATGCTTTATGACAACTTGATAAATGCAGCACACCCCCTTTGAGAACAAAACAAATCTCGTACAGTAACATCATGGTTACAGGAGCATAGCATGTTTGGGCTGCGACCAGATTTCCAAACGTGTTTGTGATCCCATCATGATGCCTACCTTTGAGCTCATTTCTACAAGCATGCTGTCTGTTGTTGTGTGCTGTGTTTTTGATACATACTGTACTGGAAGTGCTCTGGAGGTATTCCTGAGATGACTGCCAAAAAACATAAACAGTGCATGTACAAACAAACTAAAAAAAAAACAAAGCAACAAGTCCCAGATCTGTAGAATATCACAAACAGGTCACGGGTAGAAAATTGGATCATTTTGCGAGATGCTTTTGTTTTATTTCTGCCAAATGTCTGGTGGGTATTGTATGAGTGCAGCTCCAAACACATCCATGTTGACCCAGATAATTATACAGCTGTAGTTTAACAATGTGAGTTGTATGAGTTTGTGTTTGATAAAACCGGTGGCTGCAATACTTACACTGGAGATCAGAGATAACCCACATTGAAGGAGATGAAGTTATTTTTTTATTTTGTCAACCTAAACGCACACCTACTCTATAACTACTGTATGTTCAGATATCTCTACTGATAACAAATGGGTTTAAATTTAGATTTGAAATATTTATTCCTGCTTAGAGGATGCTGGGAATGGTAGTTCCAAAGTTCCTGTGCCACATGCCCTCGCAATTTATGCAAACCAGTGTTTAGCTTTGTAAAACGGAGCCAAGGAGTATCAAACGCATGTTAACAACAAGGTCAGGAGCCGTGTCAAAGAACACTTTTGTTGGCTCACACACACCATCTTAAAAAAAAGCAGGTTTATCCTGAAGCAGTATACAAGGGGTGAGAAGCGGGAGGCAGTTAGACTGTGTATTTGTTTGTTGGCCAGTGCACCGGTGTGTTCATTTTTGTGACTCATCTGCAGCAGGAAAGCCAAAGAATATGAGGAAAGGAAAAATAAAAAAAAGACTGGCTATGATTATTTATTGAGAGAGGTTTCTGTGTGTCTGCTTTAGAGGAAAGCTTGTTTTTCTTTCCAGTTTTCTTTTTTGAAAGGAGGTGTCTCCTTTTCCATGTTGCTTTATTCATGCTGACATGTCCTGCTTTACTTTATTCCCTGTTTCCTCTGTTTCTTCACACACTCAGGACTGCTTGTTTTACAATGACAGTCAACAATTTTGCAGTCTTATCTGTGTCTTTTTTTTGTGTGCGCTTAATGTTTAATATGATTTTAACTTTGTTTCCTTGTAAAAAAAAAAAAAAAAGAAAAAAAACTTTCTACTTTAATATCGTCATTCAAAATGCCAGATGAAAAACATTTTTTCAAGCTAGAAAGACATTGAATTATAAGAAAGAGACTCACTCTTTGCAGCTACCAACAATTACAGCATATACTCCTTTAGACTCATTTATGAGTGAGCTAGTTCATTTCTCAGTGAATAAAATCTGTTCTGGTAGATGATTGTTAGGAATAGAGAGAAGGGAGGGGGAATGACTAAAAAGCTGATCAATGGACAATGTGCGAGCTCTTGAGTTTTACAAATTGGTAATGTATGTACAATGAAGAGAGTTTTTTTTTTCAAAGAAGTTGAATGAAAGGGAATACTTAAAGAAGAAGAGGCCACACTGTTGTACAGATCTTTGCTGATGATGAGGCTCATTATTCTTCTAATATGCACATTTTTTTGCATCTTTTTTCTTTTATCTCTTTTAACAGCTTGAATAATTTCATGTGAATGTCAAACAAGCGCACTGAACAGACTAAAGGCTGCATGAGAAAACATACTCTTTTTTTTTTTTTTTTTTTTTTTCCGTGGCTAAAACTGTAGGAATCCAGTCGTGGGTCTAATTAATAGAGAAGTGTCTTTTTTTTCTCTTCTGTTTAGAGGGGGGGGGTGGCAATATGACAGTCCTGGTATCTTCCAGCTTGGTATGAATAATTGAGTATAGAATAGTCCTTATACGTTTAATTCGGATTAAATATTGAAGAGGAACCACCAAGCTGCAATTTCCCTCCGCCTCCCTGACAAGAGAGACTTAGCACGAGTTTGAAGAAGATGAGGAGAGCAAAAGAGGGACTTAAATGGACCATGAGAGAGAGGGAGGGGGAGGATGTGAGGGACAGATGGAGGGAGAGAGAGAGAGAGAGAGAGAGAGAGAGAGTGATACAAGAAGTAAGAGAAGGGAAACAAATGTTGTTTGGGTGCAGAGCAAATGTGAGTGTGAGATACAGCACAAAGTTTGTGCCACAAGCAGAGGAAATATGTCTTGCAAGAGATCATTGCTTAGTCCATTACCAGCTGGGAAATGAATCAATTTAAAATTTCACAAACATAGAAACCTGCTTCACTCTTATACCCAATGTTCTTGCCAAGCTGAAGAATGATGCTTAAAACGACAAAGTCGCAAATACACACCTAAATATTTAATGTTCAAATCCACAGATGAAACCAGAGCCGTGTCAGATCAGAACTTCAACACTTCAGGATTTATTGACTCAGTAAATCCTTTTTGAAGCCTCTGTTGGCTCTTAGATTGTCTGTTCAGTCTGCTTGTGTGTGCCTGCCATGTACCTTGTATGTACAGTACATGTAGCAGCATCAGTGCCCGTTAAATGAAGATGAATGTTTTCCAATCATCTTGGATCACTGCAGCGTGAAGAGCATTTTTTCTGATCCTCTAAGCATGTCGCTTAGCGTCTTTGAAGATGCAGGAATCCTTCGTCAGATCCCAGAATCACTGAGGAAGATCCCACTGCTCTTCTTCTTTCATACAGTATAAGTGTCTTCTCTGGATTTTTCCAGCGCCAAGTCTCCCATGTTCTGTCTTTCTTTGCTCTGCACATGCTTCCTCTCTCCTGCAATCCCAGTCAACCCTTCCAGCCCCTGCCTCCACTTCTTCTCTATCATTTCTGCTCGTTTCCTCTCTCCTGTACTCTTGTCAATACAGAGATGGCGTGTGAGAGACACGAGTCAGTGCCCTGTCTCTTGCACGTTGACCCCTGAGGTGATAACTGTCAGTTCTGCAGCAGGGGAAATGTCAAAAGTCTTTACAGCATTTCAAAAATATTTCAAGCCACAACACAAGCAGAGCTACCATTAACACATTGAATATTTGTCCTGCATGTGATGGGAACATTTCTGACAGGACTTAAAACAAGAAAAACAATAACTGAACTTGTTTGCTCACAGTGAGACTCGAGAGTACCTTTGCTTGTACAACTTGATAAAATAGATGGAGAAGAAGCCATCTGTTCACTCTTGTACACACCTATCCATAACTCTCTGTGGGATTGTTGTAACTGAATTAGCAGCCTTGTTTTCTCGTATCGCTTGTGTTGTTAGGTTTCTCTTTTGTAGAGCCTCTGTGATAACAGGTGGTGCATATCCATAGGGTCACCTTGGGGTGTGATTGGAGAAAAAGGGAAGAGGGAGGTAGAAGTAAGAAAGGAAGCGGAAAAGATGAGAGGAGGAGGGGGTGGAGGAGGAGCAAGGTTGGGAGGTTGTTGTAAGCTAAGTAGTTTGGAGGGGGTGGAAAGATGATTGGTGGAAAAAAAGGGAGTGGAGAGGATGAGGCGGTGAGGCCTGGAGGAAGAGGTGAGAATAGAAACTAAGAGAACATCTTCTGTAATCATCATCTTTTCTTTATCACAAAGTCATCCATCTTTGCTCCTTACGGCAGCCAAGAGCCAAACGTGTGTGCATGTGTGTAAGGGATCCTTCCATTCTACTCTAATGATAGAGGGTATAATGAACAAATAACGTAAAAGGTAATCTGTACTGATTGAATGAAATAAGGTGTTGCACATAAGCACAGAATTAAATATTATAGTCTCTCTCTCTCTCTCTCTCTCTCTCTCTCTCTCTCTCTCTCTCTCTCTCTCTCTCTCTCTCTATGTCCATCTGATTGGTTATTCCCTAACCTTATCTTGTTAGAAAGCCTTGCATGCATACAGTTTGACCTTTTACTGCCAGTACATAAGGACACACAAGACTAGTCACCCTTTTAAACACACACACTTGATTAGATCATAGATCTGCATGCGTGTTTAGCAGATGGCTCCCTAAACGTGTCGTTAACATCTATTAGTCTAAAGGCAAAGATGCATTCTAGCAAATAATAATCCAGCCACTGGCTCTACCATTCTAACACACAAACAGTCCCACACAAGCAGCAGAACACTATAACTTAACTCAGAGCACATGCAATTACACACTGCACCAGTGAATCATTGGTTTCCTCGCTTATGAGGAACTCAATCGATACTTTCACATCCCGTTGCACTTCCATTTCACCTGGAGATAGATCTTTTGATTACGCAGGCTGATAGTGACCACTAGACACACACATGCACACACAATGTGGGCAAACACTCAGTCGCTTCACTTGTCAGGGGTTGTATTTGTAATGCATGGCACAGGTCTTAGGCATTATATCATGTTCCACTCCTCTTTCCTCTCTCAGGCAGGAGGCAACGTATCATCAGCATGTGGTATACAGATGATGAATGAACCAACATTATAGCTACTGTAAATCATCAATGTGAATTGGATTGCTTTTTTCATTGGGCTTGAGTGAAAAGAGAAAAAGATGGAGTGAGAGAGAGAGAGAGAGAGAGAGAGAGAGAGAGAGAGAGAGGGAGCCTGAAACATTGCAGCATTGCCAAAGGGAAGGAAGCCACAGCAGAAGGAACAGCAACAGCAGATTCCTGAAGCTCCTCAGAATGAAGCCATTTAGAGAGGGGGGAGATGGGAAGGGTAGATGGGCTGCAGGGAGGAGAGGGAGGTGGGAGGAGGAGATGGGTGGGTGGATGTAAGGATTAGAGGAATAGCTCGTAAGGCATTCAGAACACGCATTCACCCGTACACAGCTCCCACAAGGTGCCCTTCACATGTGCACACATTTGCGCATGTAAACCCACACACATGTTAACACGTATAACAAAAAAAAGGAAAATGCCCCATTTTCCTAATTTCCCTCTCAATATTTTTTTCCATCATATTATTCGTTCACCACATGCCACTTAGGCAAAATGCAGATTAAACACATGTTAAGTTACATAATTGATGACCTTAAATTGGCTGAGAGTGAAATATTTTTTAAAATGCCACTTCAAGTATGTTTGACGCAACAAAAAAAGGAAAAACATGTTCCAACTCCATTAGTTGCTATTAATTTGAATTCTCTTTCATGTCTTGTTTTTAACTCCCGTTCTGCTCAACTGCCTTCTCAGCTGATTTCTTCATTCAGTCTCTGCAGTGATCATGCCCGATGTGAGAGTTTGTGGTTTCCTCTGAACAAGAGACAAGAAAAAAAAAAAGAGACAGTTTTTAAGAGGAGATACAGTTCATCACAGCAGAGCAATGACACTCTTTCCTTCTACTCTTCTCTGCCTCCCCCTCTGAGCATCACAGCGACAGTTTTTAGTGAAGCAGTTTTATCAAGCAATTAATAAAAGCTCTCACTCGGGATATGACTGAATTACGATACAAAATGAACCTATCTGTAAAACAGTTTGACTTGTTAATAATAAATGCAGCTATTCTGTCTCTCTCACTATCTGTCGCTCTCTATCTCTCTCTCTCCCTGTCTGTGTGTCTGTCTGTCTGTCTTACCCTCTGTCTCTCCTATCTGTCTGACTGTCGCTCTCTGTTATTGTCTCACAGATAACTGTTTTCCGGATGGGGTCGGAGGGTCATCAGGACATTGACCTTGCCATCCTCACTGCTTTACTTAAAGGTGGGTGTTTTTTGTTGTTCTGTGTGCGTGTGTGTTAGTGTACAAAAAAGTTAATTCCGTTTCACTCTGGTCCTCCTTGGATGTTATTTGGAGGTTTCTATACGTTGAATAAAGCACTATTATCACTGTCATGTTTTAGGTTTATGTTCAGCGTATAGGATTATGTTTTTTACTAACACTGGTTAGGTTTCAAGATCACTAAGGAGGGCGGAGGCTCCAAAGCAAACTTGATAATGAGCATACTTGATAATAAATTGGATTATAAAGCAATAACTTTCTTACATTTTAGCCACAAACAGAGTGCCATGGGCATCACAGGGGAGTTCAATTAAAGATAGACACAGTAGCTTTTTCCGAGATAATTAAATATAGACTTGTACAAAAGTAATGCCGCTCAATCATCACTTAGGGGCTTCCAAATATGTTTGGTGTCCTCAGCCAGTATTTTGATGTTTTGTTTTTGGTTGACAATTCAGTGATTCGATGCAAATGGAGCGAGGGAATATAGACGAGGACGTAGCGGCTAAGAAGAGAAAATATAATCACAGTGAGGTGAAACACCAAGCAGATAAAGCTCGTTCTAAATGAGACTCAACCTTTCACTAGGGTTAGACACTCTGTTGGACAGGCAGGTGCCAAACAGCTGTGGTTAGCTTGTGCTAGCGTACGGTAGCTTGCAGTGTTTGTAGGTACAAGCAGTTAACGTACACACTACACACTGCAGTGAGTGTCCACTTCTTGATGCGATGAGTCCAGGAGGGGGAGCCAGTTTGAATGTTTTGTTTATAAACTGCAACTAAAAAATGCTACTGCTATCCAATGTAATCCAATGTGTACTGTAATCCAGTATTCATTAGCTAAACCAACAAGCAAGAGAGTAACTGTCTTACAAGTCTGGTACAGAACCACCTGTTTTTTTTCCATGGATCAGAAACTATGTAATATTTTAGTAAAAAATTCTATTCAGGTGCTGTTACACAGATTGATTAAATTTGGAAAGTGAAGACAAGCTTCTTCTATTTACAGTTTCTGTGCTAAGCTGACCTATTCTGTTGCTTGTTCTCACAGCACATTTATTTTTATCTAAACTCATGGCAAGCCAGCGTGTAAGAGTATATGCAGGTTCCAGTCGAGCTTCCAGTGATTTCTAGGTTTCCTACTTATGCTAATAGAAACACAGCAACACCTGCAGAATAATTGATTAGCATGAACGCTGCTGCTCATTAACTGTGTGGCCAGGGACAGATAATTGCAGATCCAATGAATTATGAACTGTATTGTGTCTTTATGACCATCTCTTTTGTAGTGCATGTTTTATTTTAATTGGCATTTGTCAAGTTAATTGCCCTTGTGGCCAATAATCACTTTTAACACATAGGGAGGAACACTGTTCTTTTTTTGCATACCTCTCATCCTCACACAAATCCAACAGTGTGGCTACCATTGAATTCTGATTCTTATCTTTACACTCAGCTTACCGGGTATGTTACACAACTATTGTAGTACACAAGTGAACTAATGATCTACAGTTATCCCAGTTTCCGCCCCTATGGTTACAATGCAACGCAATCAGTCAGCATGGTGGAGCAGGGCAGACCTAAGGATTGACAAAGTAAGAGAATATAGAGTAAAAAGTTTCAGTAAGCATAAGCTGCAGTTTCTAATTCTGTAACATATTGTTATGCAATAACCAATAAAGGCAATGAATGGGACTAAATTAATTTATGAAATCAAGAAAATGTCTAGTGCCACCCTCATGATTCCTCTTCCTTTATCTTATTTCCCACTTCATTTTTTTCCACTCTTCCCATACACACACATACACTCTCTCACACACTCACATGATTTATCGATCCACACCTTTGATAGGTTGTTCAGTTGCTTCTGTTGATCGTGTCTGCTCTTGCCTCTTTAAGGAATATGACGTTAGCAAGGCCCACTCAACTCTGCACTCACGCTCTCACTCCAACACACGCACTGGCACATGTGAACACACACGTGTGTGCAAAAAGACAGCGAGTCCTGTGGGACTGCTCAGCTATTCAACGCACATGATTGACTCTCTCAAGGATCGCTCCTCAGAGAAACATTTCATTCCACAGAGGGTGAGAAAGAGACTGAATAAGTGAGTTTGGAGAGGGAGAGTGTTTTACATAATTGATGTGTTGCAGTCAAGATACATGATTTATTTGGCCCATGCATCACTCCAGACACTCCCTCTACTGCCCTGTAACTCTCACTATGTAAACAAGTCTCCATCATGTACTCTGTCAACTCCATCAGTCAAACCGTAGTTTTTCTGCTCACTTTTTCATCCATTTTTATTCAACTCCTTTCACATTGTTATAGGAATGGCATGTAGAGGATTGACAAATGAAGAAAGAGTAGAGTAGAGAAAACGAGAACAAGGAAACAAAAGCAAAGAGGGCACAGAAGAGAAAGAATATGTGAGAATGATGAGAAAAGGGGAGGAAAATGCTTTGTGGTAAGCAGCACGAGGGTCATTTCACATGCAAGTCTCATTCTGCTGCTGCGTCAATGAGACCCGTTAAGGCTTTTAGTGTAAAATGAAATCAGTCACATCCTGCCGGAGAGCTGCTTTTTTTAAACGCTGGATTAGACTCCTTCGTAGGAGAACTAAGCTACAGCCTGAAGCTCAACAAGGCACGGCACAGTCAGGAATACGTGGTGAGGGGAGAACAGAGGAAGAGCTGGAAGGAGAAAAAAGAGAATAAAAAAAGGATGGAGTGTGTGATTCAGGGTTAGAGACTGAGGGAGAGATTTAGAGATGTGGGTAAAGACAGGGCAGTAAGGAAAGTGCAGCTGAAGAAGCATGGTGTAACAGAGGGGGGAGTTTGGAGTTATTGATGATGTGCTGTCTGAGGAAGTCAATGTCCTGAAGATTAGGTCTATAAAGTCAGTTGGCAGGAGTTCAACCTCCCTGCAGGCAGTCATAGTGAAGCCACAGGCCTTTGATAAAGCAAGGCCACACTGCCTTTTAATGTACACACACCTCCTCTAAAGCCCTTATTAGTCGGCTGTGCATCTCATTAACAGGCCTTTCTGTGTATGAACATTAAGCTGCACTAATGCTGCACAGGCCTTTAAGACAGAGAGCACTGTGTAGTGTGATGATACCGGTGTGCATATTTAAAAAAAGAAATCCCAGTCTTGTAAACACACGGGGGATTATTATTATACTATAATTATAGTGTGTTTCTCTAAAGGCTCTGAAGGGCAACTGTTGCTTTATCGTTTTCATTTGGTCTAACTCCTCCCAGTGTGCAGATAAATTATCAATTGGAAGTGCAGTCTGCGTTTTTTGTGCTTGAGCTCACTGGTCAACTGTATTTCATGTTGCATATATATCATCATGTTTACAGTCGTTCAGTTTTACATGGGATTATATATCACTCATTAATTAATTAAAGTGTACAGTTTCCTTCTGTCCACATTTCAGCTGTTCTGCTGAAGTTTGGCTGAGTTTTCAACCAACAAACATTGTTACACTGTTGTCTAGGATTCTTGAAGAACACCAGCTGTATGACCTATTTCTGTGCATACCAGGGCCCCATTTCACAAATGTCTTTAGGCTAAGAGGATCCTAAAACTCATAACAATATTCCCTTTTTGACTCCAGGTTGTTTTCTTCAATTAATCATGGATTATCAGTGTGATCATGGAGAACATTTTAAAGAAACTCACTAGACAGATAAATTAGCGCAGCCTGCTTGAGCATCTCGCCAGATTTACGTCTTCCAATGTGTCAATTTATTATCAGTAATGACATGCAGCAAAGCTTTCACAGTCATGACAGAGGTGTCCTGTTTTTATCCAGAAATACCATCCAACACTTTATTTATCAGTGTGCCCTTCAGTCCTGTAAACAACTTGTGTTTTTCTTCATCCAATTATAAAAAGCACTCAGATCTGTCCAGAATTTTTGTTTTGTTTTCAGTGTTCAGTTTTTTTCCTCACTGACAATGTTGCAGTCATGTTTATCTTCCAGGAAGAGATCTGTAAGTGATGTTCACTGACACAGCAAATCAAAGAAACGGTTGTATTTTATGCAGGGATGAGACGGAGCGTTAAATAAAGTGATACATGGAAAACCAAGCTGTTGTTCTTCAGTTTGAAGACATCAGCTTACAGAAACACAGAAAAGCAGGCAAGACACATTGTCAAGTAAAAAGTAAAGATCTACCAAGCCTGAAGTTACATTAAGCCCCTGCAGTCCCAATAAATAAAGCTTACCATAATTAATCTTCTCTCAGCTCTATAGGGGTCACCTTAACAAAAGTGCTAAAGAAAAAAACTAAGCAAGGATTTCCTTTTCTGATTTTTTTCATTGGTGGTTGTGCAAAGGCCGTTACTGTTTTTTAAGTCTGTTTTTTTAACAATCAAAATTACTATCAAGTATGTTGAAATGGCCACAAAGTACTAAATCTCCATAAAAATGGAGACGACATCAGAGATGAACAGTGTGACACACTGTACATACTGAACATAACAGATAAGATGAAACTTCATCAATACCTATATACTTTCAAGTACTGAAGGATTTGCATTCACAGTAGCTCCAGAGGAGGAGCTTAAGAATACTTGAAGAGAATAATAAGCAATAAAGCCAGGTTATACTCAACATTAAAACAATACTCAATTTTTTAAAGTATACACTACAGTTTTCAGGAAGCCTTGTTTTTCCAGAAATATGACATTGTCTTTACTCTTGCTGGGATCCTCTTGCAGGTGCCAATGCTTCTGCTCCTGACCAGCTGAGTTTGGCTCTGGCTTGGAACAGAGTGGACATCGCCCGAAGTCAGATCTTCATATACGGACAGCAGTGGCCTGTAAGAACTTTAACCTACATACTGCAGCAGAAATATTGATCTAAAATTCATGGGGCAAGTTTTTCCTTTGTGCAGTCTCACTGACAGTACACGGTACAGTATACTGCAATGCCTACCTCAGTTTTGGCTTGTGCAAAAAACATGATTTATGGTCATCAACAGCTAATATTATAAACAACAACTAATATGCAGCTCAGAATAATCTACAAAGACTAATGATGAGATGGGATGATGAAATGTGTGTCAGATGAAAAGGTAGATAGAAGTGCTGCCAATATTTGAGTATCAAGATTGAAATTAGCACATCAAGTTTGGCTCCTCTAACATGTTTTTCTTTTGGTGATATCCTTACACAAAAACCCAGCTTATGTTTATTCATTTCCTTGCTGTGCTACTGTACAGTTAGTATTATGTAGTGTGGGTTGTATATGGTACCACCATTTCATGTATCCTCCTCCCACGCATACCATAGGTCGGTTCCCTGGAGCAGGCGATGCTGGATGCCTTAGTTCTGGACAGAGTCGACTTTGTTAAGCTGCTGATTGAAAATGGAGTCAGTATGCACCGTTTTCTCACACTTTCCAGACTGGAGGAGCTCTACAACACGGTACAAATAAATGCACATGAATTGGTTGTAAATATAAGTGGTATTACATTTTTGCACAACACTTGGGGCCGTCCTCCTTCTGCAAATACTTCATTATTCATGAATTCATCATTCATTAACACAATTACACAAATAGCATGCTGCTTGTTATGCACAGCATAGCAGGCCAGGTCAAGTCTTTGCCCTAGGTGAATTCATTTGTTGTCAGTGACTATTTACAATATCCTGACACCTTATCTTTGATTTCCCCCCTCCTTCAGAGACATGGACCATCCAACACGTTGTACCACCTCGTCAGAGATGTCAAAAAGGTATGACCATCGCTGCCGTCCATTTAGCTCCATGGCTGTTCAGGCACTCTGTATGGGAATGTTGGCTTGAATGTGTGTATTAAAGGAGAAATGTTTGAGTAGTTCCAGTTGCTTTTTTTGAAGTGTGCGTTGTTTCGTTGTTTGTGTACATTTTGTGGGTTTACATTTGGGTTGCCCTAGTTGCCATTAACTGCTGATAGAGGCCGGCTCTTCTCTTTTCAGCTGGAGTTGCAGGCTGCACTGGCTGTGTAGAGCTATGCACGACTTCCATCCCTCTCATGAATCTCCTGCAATTTACTCTGTTCTTTCTCTAAGGCATGCACTGCCGTTGTAAACAAACACTACATGTATTAAACATCACTTTATCCACAGAACTTGAGTTTGTGCCAGCTGGGGCTCTAGTGGAACTACTGTGAGGCTGAGAAGAAAGAACTCAGTAGATACCAACTATTTATTCATGTCTGTTTTTATTTGCATCTTTAATATCACTTTTAAGTGTTTTTTCTTTTTGATACGCTGTATCATCTGGTACTAGTGGTGAAACTGGGTGTTCCCTTGAATTATACTGATGTGTGGTTATCTTCACAATGGTACAATTGTGAAATCACCTCTCTGTATATGTTTTAACTGCACTTAAGCAAAAAGTATGCAGTATTCATTATCTTTCCTGCAAATCTTCTATTACACCTTGGTGATTGCTGCAAAGAAAAAAAAACAGATTCAGTATTACATACCTGTCTGCAGGCCAATTAGTAGTGATCCCAGTGTTGGTGGATGATGGAGAGGTCAGCAGCATCACCATTAGCATTGAGAGGTGTTCATTAATTAAAGTGTTACTGATTAGAGTAATGCTGCATGCTCCTCTGGGAGTTACTAAAGAGGCTGCATGTTGTAATCACTCTTCTTCTACGTCCACTCTGTCTATAAACACAACTATGGAATCAAGTTGCTGCAGAGAGAATGCACAGGGTATATTCAACAAACATCACCATGCTGCTTTCACACATTCAAAACACACACACTGTAGTGCATGGCATAACATCCCCATCCAAAGCTGTGTGTTTAGTGTAGCCGAGTGCTTTTTGTGTCGTCGTTGTATCATAGTATGATGCTAATTAGGTTGAACTCCTCTCCCCGGGTGGGGTCATGTGTCATACATCATTTTCCTTTTCTTATTTCCTCATTCTCTTCGGTAGAAGTAATGTTTGGAGTTGGCATAAATCATTTTTACTCAGATTTAGGTACCAGGCAGCAGCTGTGAGAGCCAGTGAATGTTGTGCTCAGGTTCAGTCTAGCCTGTTTATTAGATTGTGTGATGAAAGGGAAAGTCTTATAGGGGGAATCATGGAGATGGCTTGTGGACTACAGCTGTCAGAGCAGAAATGGAATTTCCTTCAGGGGAAGTGAGCAATGCAGTTTTGTGGAAAAAAGTTGGTAGTAACACACGTTTTGCCCCGAGTCTCAAAAGTAAGAAGGAAACCCACATGTTACCAGATTTAATTTCCCTTTCTTTGCTCTTGGAATGTACAGTGTGTACGGTGTAGATGTTAAAATTATACTGGAGCTTCAAGAGCTCACACAAGAACTGATGTTTGAGTGTATATTTCATTACAGATTAACATTGTGTACTAATGTAATAGCTTGATGAGCTTTAATAAGTTTGGCGGACAGAGAGCCCCTCAATTAAAACAACTATTTGGACTATGTGGTTTACATGCCAGAGATAAAGCATATGTAGGCAAGAGTAAAATGAGTTTTCTGTAGATCATCTTCCCCATTAAAAGAGTCTATTTACACAGGTTGTAAACAAACAGCTCAATAGCTTGAGCTTCACCACCTCAGGGACTTCATAGAGGGCTCAGCCAACCGCTGACTGCTGCATTTTCAACTGTATATCAGAACCATGAGAAGGTGAAGGCTTGTGTGTTCACTTTGAACTGTGGATGTATAGAGACAAGGAGTATCTGGCTCTCGCCGTACTTCAAAGTGGATCAGTTAGCCTGCAGGGGTTTGCCAGGCTTTACCACCGAGGACCTTGAGTCTTTGGATAGGAAGCCAGGGTACGGAGGATGAGGAGGTCAGGGAGGATTCCTAAAATCTCTCATCTGAGTGGAGTTAGAAGAAGGTGTAACGACATGTCGGGTAATTGGTGTAGCTGAAAGAAACAGTTGGGGGTCAGGGTAATGACTGCAGGATCTGGGGTTGATGTTGAGGGCATGATGAGGAGTGGCAGGTGCTGATATGGCTATAGTGGTCACGTGAATAGACATCTTTTACATTAATGATTCTCCCTTCCGGCAATAATAGCTGCCTTTCTGTTTCCCTATGCCCCTCTCTTCCAGGCTAATGGGATGTTACCACTTATCCTTCTTTTCCTCTCCTCAAGACTGCACTGAACCTCACTGAGAAGATCTCATTAATTTGCTGAATGAAAATTACGACAAATCATTCCATTTTTTTACCTCTTTGTAATGGTCCTCAGATACTTTATTCTCTCTATGAATCATAATACACCTAAGATTTTAGTCTCTCCTCATTCTTACTCCTCTACAAGAGAACAAGTTATAGCTTTGAAGATTTGGGTTGTAGAGAGCTTTCACGACTATTATCCTAATTGAAACTTATTTTTGGTTCACACACTTGGGAGGAATAGGTCCACATTTCAAGACGCAACCCAAGATCCACATAGTTCTAAAAAAAAAAAAATAAAATACAGAAACATAAAGTGTACCACAGTCTGGTTGAGATAACGATGTTTATAAGAGGCTGGAAGAGAGATCTTGCCCGAGAGTTCTGTGTGTCTCATTTCCCCTGCTCTTGCTTATCGTGCCGGTTACTCACTGACATTGTGTGTTCTTTCCAAGCGAGAATATCCAGGGTTCAGTTGGATCTACTTCAAGGTGAATCCGATAATCACGTTTTTTTTTTCTTTCATAGCCAAAAACAGTTTGATAAGGATTTTGTGAAGTGAGCGTGTCTGACAGTGTGATTTTTCCTGAATTTGTGTTTACCCCTCCTTTGTTTGTCTTTTTAATCCTCCCTCACAAATCATTCAGGTCCTTGTTTGTTAACACTGTCTGGTTTTCCAGGGAAACCTGCCACCGGACTACCGCATCAGCCTCATCGACATCGGACTGGTCATTGAATACCTCATGGGTGGAGCTTATCGGTGTAACTACACCAGGAAGAGATTCAGAACTCTATACCACAACCTTTTTGGACCAAAGAGGGTAAGTGATTGAATCTCACCTGGACACAGACCTCAACATTAAATGCATATAAACAGTCATGGGTGGAAAATTAAATTCACTAAGCAACTAGTGTTAGTGAAATAAAAATTCTGCTCAAATTAGCAGTGATAAGGTCAAAATGAATAAATATTATTTATCCAATGGCAAACTTCACCTTGCCACAGTCTGTATATATGCAGGTCTACAAACATTATTCTACTTGTGACATGGCTGAATGTGCAGGAAATGTATTCAATCTACACAATATCTTTTTTTATGATTGTCCGTAAGGGGCAGCTGCTAGCTTTAGTAGCACTAGGAGTGAATAAAAATCTACACATCTCAGCCCTGACAGCTGAACGGTCAGATTCAACCATGAAAAGAAAAGTGTTCTATATATCCTTACGTATCATTTGCTCCTACGATCCATAGCTGGTCAGAACTAGAGCGGTCCATCTGTTATCCTTCATATCAATATCAAGTGTCTGCACAGCACAGACTATTATTAGCTTGATGCAACAAATCATTCATCAATTATAGCAGTGACTCTTCATCATGTGCCATCATAACTCTGCCCCCAAAATATACAGACTTCATTACAACCACTACAGACACTCATCTCACTGATTGGAAGACCTTCATCAAAAGAGGAGGAACTAATCACTGAAATCATGTGCTGTAGTGTAGTGTGTTTTACAGCACGCACACTGCACATCCTAATGTATATGTTCCTGTTCTCATTCTGCCTCAACACTCACACACCGCCACAGGTGTGAGAGAATATTTTTGCTTGATGGTGCACCTAAATGTTTGTATTTTGTTAGAGTGTGTGCGTTTGTGAGTGTGTGTATGTGGGTTTCATGTGCCTGTTTATCTCATTGTATGTCTGCCTTGGCAGCAACAAAGCAGCTGGAAAGACACAGATAAAGCAAAAGCAAAAAAAAGGTGCTGAAACTGAACAAAGAGGCTAAATGTGATGAAATAAATGAACAATCACATTTCCATGTGCGCACACACACACATGCACACATGCACATACATGCTAACTAAGAACAAAGCTTGGAAATAAATGCAGATATCAAAATCCCCACAGGAGACCTGTGCTATTTATATCAAGTCAGATGATGGCTCATGAATGCATAATTCATACATGCCCTGCTTTAATACAGATACAGAGCACTGTACCAAACGCACAAACACACTCTGCTATAACCGATGCCAACATGCAGTCGTATGAGATTGTAGCTGTATGTAGCGCACTGTCAATCACATGAGCGTAACACCCCTCATCAATGTTACCCTTTTAACAAAAACCCTTAAACTGGAAGTGAATATTTCTCATCACATTAGAATGTCTGTCAGTGTGCACTGTGTTGTGCTTATAGAGTGACTTACTCTATAAATTACATCCGACAAAGTCTTGTTCTGTTTGTTTATGTTTTTGTTGCTTTTCTAGCCCAAAGCCCTGAAACTGCTGGGGATGGAGGTGAGTGTTTGCTCTCATCAAAGCTGTTATTCAGTCATTCCTTCTCTGTTCCCCTCTCTCTCTCTCTCTCTCTCTCTCTCTCTCACGTCTGAAACAGTCTCTCTCACATAGTGTCCAGTGTAAAGCCAATCTGTATCTTCCAGTGAAGTAGGCAGTGCGCCTTGAGGTCTTTAAAAGGAGACTGTGAGGTGCATTTAATCAATTTTGCCAGCAATGTATAGACTTTTCAACCAGTTCAAGGCTGGTAATAATCACAATTTATGGTGTAGTTCACACAATCTAGTTCATAGTTATTTTCAATTAAAATAGTTCTCATATTGAAACACAAACATTGTCTATATAACTGTTCAAAGGCTTCAGACAGTATAAACATTTACAACTCTTAATGTAACATGTCAGAGCAGCCCACTCAGCTGACTAGGTAATGACTGACCTAACAGATTTACATAATACATATACATGTGTTGTGTACTCGTATGTATCTATGGAGTACAAACTGTGATCCATCCACATCATAAAGCTTCTGTCAAAGCATGTGTCTGTTTTCTCTGAGGTGTTCACATCTAACGTGCATGGCCGTCCATTTCTCTGTATGTCTGCCTGTGAAACACATCCGTCTGCCTGTCTGTGGTTGTTCCCTCTTTGTTGTTGTTTGTTAAAGTTACCTTGATGTCTCTCTTTTTGTGATTCAGTTTGTCATAAAGTCAACATGGCAGACTGGCTATGAAACAGAATACGTTGAATAAATTGCTGTTAACGTAGCTTCTGATTTTTAAAGATTGTTTTATTGTCTATAACTGAACACTGCTGTACTAGTATCATGTATCTATACATTCACATAATCTGTCTTAAAGCAAGCACAAATGAAAGAGCCACTGAAAGCAATTTGTCAGATCTCGAGTATTGAACAGCTGTCAGAAGTCCTCAATTGTTAAAATGTGAAATTATTGGAGCTCAGTGCTGATGCTGTTGAAATGACACTAACTGGCAGTATCGATCCCTGCAGAGACAAGGAGACAACCTGAGACTTGTTTTTTTTTTTGCTCAGCATTAAAGGGAAACTGAATAAATAGAGAAAAGTCAAAATTTCACAAAACTATTTTATTTTAAAAGTGTGAGACTTTGCTTATTAGGTGTATTTTTGTGTGTAGAACTTTACCCTTTCAACTGTGTCTTCCAAAGTCTGATTTTGCTTCTGCATTTGGCTTTTCTTCATCATGTGTGGTTCAACAATTTAGATCATACATTCTGAAAATGCTTGCCATGTGATCGGACCGTTTAGACATATGCAGAGATCAAGTCTGTCAGAGACTAGGTTTTAGAAGTGGATATGATCCAGATTCTTGGATTTTGCTTGTAATAATCATAGACAACCTAAGATTTGACTGAGTGCATCCAAATATTGCTCAATATCAACCTAAACACATTGTCCTGTGGTACTATATTTAAGGCAAGGGTGAGGGTTCATAAAAAGTAAATAAAGCAAATAATCCACAACAAATCACCCAAAAATATGAATTGTTCCATAGCTATGTCCATCTTTTCCCCCGCTCATTGTCTATTGATCTCCATCAGGACGACATGCCAATCCGCAGAGGACGCCAGAAGACAACTCGTAAACGCGAGGAGGAGGTGGACATTGATTTGGATGACCCTGAAATTAATCACTTTCCTTTCCCCTTCCATGAGCTCATGGTGTGGGCCGTGCTCATGAAACGTCAGAAAATGGCACTGTTCTTTTGGCAACATGGCGAGGAGGCCATGGCCAAGGCGCTGGTGGCATGTAAGCTTTGTAAGGCCATGGCACACGAAGCTTCGGAGAACGACATGGTGGACGACATCTCCCAGGAGCTCAACCACAATTCCAGGTGGGTCACAGAAAGTACACACATATCCATCCAGCTGTGTTGTTTTAAAGGTGATGTTTAAACACTGTGCAATTCTTAAGACCTGCCATATGGGTAACAATTCTGCACTTCATGATTTATGCAAATCTAAATGGCAGGTCTAGACAGGCAATCGTCTTCAAGCACATATATATATACACAACCCAAACACTCTAGCATGCCTTCTTCCCTGCAAAGTGACCTGTTTTAGTCTATTTCAGGCTCGCACAGGATTTAGGTGCCATAGATACAGAAATCTAATAACATGCATCATTGTTAGTTAAAAATATGCATTTGAGATGAAGGTAATCGTCGAGGGATGAAATAATGGAAATGATTGTGAATAATTTGGAAAAAAAACTTTTGCAGCCACACCAACTTCAACTCACTTAACACACAAACACACACACACACACACACACACACACACACACACACACACACACACACACATGCATGCATGCATACAAACATACAGTCTAACAGAGTTTCAAAGGCCAGCCATAGTTCTACAGCTGGTTTATTTTGAGTTTGCTTTCCTCTGAGACTATAGCTGTGCTCATGCAAGGGCTCATTTAACTATATACATTTTATATCTTAATTTGGGGTTGTGCTGTTTGTTTGTTTGTGTGTGTGTGTATGTATGTGTGTGTTTGTATGTAGTAACTCGAGGGATGAATACGAGAACTTGGACATACATACAGTAATTTCTACATTCTTCAGGGAGTTTCTTTTACTTTCCAAGATATCTAAAAGCAGAAATGCTTTTAGAATATCTACCTTTCATATTTCATGAAACAGAAACATTTGCTCTGAATCTGTGGTGTAATGAGTGCTTGTTTTATTAATTCTCAAGCAGTCTGAGTCCCTTGTTATCCACATTCAACCACACAGGAGACATAGCGTCCAGTGTACTGTGAAATACTGTTCTGAAAGGTTTTAGGGTAATTGGGTTTTGAGTGTGTTATGGAGAAAGTTCTTTTAGAAGTTAAAATTGGGTTGAAACAAAATCTTAACGTATTGGTTTTCATCATATTGTCTGGAAGGGATGGTGCATTATGTTTGTGTACAGTTTGAAAGGTGTGGGATGTTTGTGTGTGCTTAGGTACTGTGTGTCTTTGTATGTACATGTTTTTTGTTTGCCATACTACTCCACTAAATTAAGATTTTTTTTCATATTTTAGGCTCTTCTCTTTTTAATTTTAACCCCTTGGTGCTACGATCAAGATTTTGTAGTCTCCAAACAGCATGTCATAATTCATAATTCAGCATGTTGTAAAAAAACAAAACAAAACATTTTAAAACAAAAACAAGCATTCCTAAATCCCTCACCTTGTAAAATAAATAATAAAATAAAAAATATATTACCAGTGAGAGCTAACACTGTACCTGTTTGTGCATTTCATAAAGAAATCAGATATCATGTTTGGCATTGACCACGTCTGCATGCTGTGTTGATATGAAACTTGTTTCTATGCTAATTAAATCTCTGTAGAGTCCGTCCAGATGGCCGGAGTTTCCTTGACCAGTTTATTTGAACAAAGTGTTTGACTGTCTCTGTTCATGCCTCTGTGTGCCTGTATATGTCCTGTATATCACATCCCAGAGAGTTTGGCCAGTTGGCAGTGGAACTCTTAGACCAGTCCTATAAACAGGACGAGCAGATGGCTATGAAGCTCCTGACGTACGAGCTGAAAAACTGGAGCAACGCCACCTGCCTGCAGCTGGCGGTAGCAGCCAAACACCGAGATTTCATCGCTCACACCTGCAGTCAGATGCTGCTGACCGACATGTGGATGGGACGCCTGCGCATGCGCAAGAACTCGGGCCTGAAGGTAAAATAAATGGGCCAGATGTTTGAATTAACCTGAGGGTACAGAAAAGTGTACTTGCATAACTTTATAAAATATTTTCACAGCCCCTTTGGTGTCTGAGAGGCGGTGTTGTACCAGAAAGATGTATCCCCTCAGACTGCCTGAGAAAAGTTGGACAGGGAAAGTAATGAGAACAACCCTTACCCCCCTGAGAAACTGTTGTAGATATGGCCCAAATCACCCTGCTGAATGGGCGTCTGCTGAGTGGCTCACAGAAAAGCGGAGAGTGGTTATACATGACAACTCCCAGGTGTTAAGTGCAGAATTGTAGGGATGTGTGAAAAATGAGATGATTTCTGATTGCTTTTCTGTAGAAAACATCTTAAGATTCAAGGGTAACTTTGGACATAATGTACCCATAATGGAAGCAAGCCGTCTAGTATTTGCATACCAAAATATATCAATACCCAAACCATATCGGCTTGTTTGTTGGCATACACAACAAGAAATTGCAGTACCAACTGATGGGACTTTGGAACAATGACGCATAGTCCTCCCATCAGAAGCACTGAAAGTTAGTTTTTCAGCTGTAATATGTCAAATAAGTGCATATCTTTAATATATCCACAAATACATCTCTCTTTAACGTTAGCCTCAGCAATCCATTACCCATCAGGTTGTGATACGAAATAATGCAGATCAGTTTGCACCGAAGTAGAAGCGACATAAACGTTACAGATACAGTACAATTAGTAACGTCCTTACTGAATCTCTTTCCTTAAAAAGTATTGAATAAACGACCTTCAGTTCAGATGATTCATCTACTGTACAGTGGATAACTATTTATCCTCTTTAATACATTTGACCAACACTGCAGTGCACTCTTGAAAAAGGGAGCTTTTATTCAAACAAAGTTCTGGCGATTAGGAATTAACAAGCTAAAGCTCCAAGGTCTCTAGTCTGAAAGGTTTTAACTGTGGTGTGAACATGATGACTCACTTCTCAATAATGTAGAGAAAGCAAGAGAGAGAGAGAGAGAGAGAGAGAGAGAGCACTGGAGTGTAAAAAGTAGACAGGTCAGCACCGACTGTTTGTGGGAGGCCAGGACAGACATTATCGGTCTGTTTACATTTACATTTCAAACTTGGATTGTTTTCTCTCTAATCTTCGCTAAACAAGCGACTGCAGTTTGGTTTGTTTAATAATTTAAAGTTTTTGTCCACTGGTTTAAGTTTCTTCCAGGGTCTTTTTTTTTTTAAATTCATGCACAAACTTCACTCCTTACAAAGAGCGTCAAAGGATTGTACAAAGATTCTTTGATAGCAGATTCATAATAAAGGTGAAGATAAAATGCTGTGCATTGAGACTGACTGTACTGCCAGTCAAGGTTGCTTGAGATGTTGCAGAGGAGGAGGAGGTTCAGCCAGTGAAAGAGATTTATTGGACAGTTAACTTTAAAAGTGTGATGAGTGTCAAGGTTGCTCACCAGGTAAAGCTTCATTTGCATAACCCTACAAAGTTTGATCCTCAATCAAAGAGGACAGAAGAACTGACCTCAATTATTAGAGATCACCTGGAAATGGTGCTCAACATTGAAATATCCTGGCTCATGTGGTGAAAATCCTTTGGAAGCAAGGTGAGAGCCGTCATTCAAGAACGGTGGTTGAGTTTTGAGCAGTGTTTGTTCATGTGGGTTTCGCAGTCTAAGTGTGATAAGACGCAGCTGGTTGGATCAGAGAGGTTACATTTATTTATAATGAAAAATTGCCCCAGGAGCTGCCAAAGGAGCATCTGGGTTCACACTAATTCGGACAAAAAAGAGAGACGAGGGGCAGGGGAGGCTCAAAGGGCTTTAAGTTGTGTTTGGCCTTTGCAGGAATGAAGCCCTGAGCACAGACAGGCTCATTGGAGCAGAAAGACAGAGAAGGAAACCACAAGCGAAATAAATAAAAAAACCACTGCCCCTTGGAGTTCATGATACACAGCAAATAAAATCGTCAACATTTGAGAGTTGCTACAGCTGTGAGGGCTGACTGCTTTCACCCTCTACAAATCTCACTCATAGTAGAATTAAGAGGCTACAAAAGGACTATGAATAACAAAGTGAGTGCATTGATTCCTTCACACATGAGCTGGTCGCTACTAGTGACATATCTGCTGTCGACCTCTTGACATGACTGATGAGAGAAGCGGAGAAATCACTTTCTGTGCTGTCGTGGTAATTTAATTTTCCCCCCATTGTGTCAGACTGTAACTGTCATTATTGTATATTTCAATCTTTTTGTATAGTCATCTGACTTTAAGGACAGTTTTTTATCACATTATAACATGAATTGTCTTAATAGTCACACCTCCGCTTGTCAATTTAAGGAACAGGTCAATGTAAAAATTCAGCTAAAGGCCCTTGATAACACTGCCCTCCATCACCTTTTCACTGTTCTGCATTTGTTGTGTGACTTGTATGTTTATGAAGTGTATACACCACACTCACTTCCATTACATGCTGTGGGTATGTCTCCCTCTCATCCATCCTGGCAGCACAGCACCCTTGCAGCCTGTCTGGACTAATGCTTTAGTAATCTACCTCCAAAATGAGAACCATCGCCTGTGCAGTCATAAACTTTATCATTTAGCTATGCGCAAGCCAGCGCATGAGGTTTAAGGGTAAACATATGTGAGTTTAAATGTGCTGTGTTACAACTGTTCTAATTTCCTCAGTGCTTCCTTACAAAGCTGCACATCTTAATCACCTCTGTCCCCTTCCTCCTCTCAACACTTACTTTCCTCTTCCTCCAACCCAACTTCCGCCCAGGTAATCTTGGGGTTGCTTCTGCCACCATCCATCCTGAGTCTGGAGTTCAAGAACAAGGATGAGATGTCCTACATGCCACAAGATCAAGAGGCATACCTGCAGGAGAAGGAGGAGGAGGAGCCCGAGAAGCCAGCCAAGGAGAAGGAGGAGGAAGACATGGAGTTCACAGTAAGATCTTACTGTGAGACGCAGTACAACTCCGTGGTGAGAGAACCCACCTCAGCCCCGCATCTCAGAATCTATACACATAATCAAACTTTAAGTGATACACATATGTTTTGTTTAGATTAAGAAACTGATGAATGAACACATACCTATGATTCTGTGTCTCTTATGGGCAAGTTTTTTTTTTACCATGTTTTTACGCATACACATACGTACACAGTTCTCCGCACACACACATACTTGTTTCTCTATTCTGGCCAGCTGGACCTTCCCAGAAAAATCGGCCATGACTGTTTCTCATCGTCTTAGCACAGACATGGTCTTGGAGTTGTAGCGTCTCAGTCTGTCGCTGCTTGTGGGTTCCCTCGTGTTTGTTTCTCCCTCTCTATCTCCTTTATTTCTCTCTGCCTCTCCTCTGGTCCCTCTCGTTCTCTGCCCAGCTCTATACTTCTTCTGTTTCTTTCGCATCCCACTACCTCTCCCTCTCCCTCTCCAGCTCTGTCTCTCTTTGTCCTTCTCTTCTAGCTCAGTTCTGGTTGAGGTACAGTACTGTATTGCGAGCTGATTGCTGCCCCTCACTCTCTTCCATCAGTGATGGCTTGCTGTAGCACACCACTCAGCATGTCGGCTGCTGCTGAGCATGGGAGGCCCAGGCTTTTGCATTATATAACCATGTCCGCCTGCTGCTGCAGAGCTTAAATCATGCAGAGTCTGAGCACCTTCTCCCTGCTCACAGTGGAAGAGACGGTCCATCTGCATAGACATGGATGAACAGCAGGATTAGGACTCGATCCATTTCAGTCCAATCAAGTCTGGCGACAAAACCAAGATCCAGTTTGAGTTTTAAAATCAGGACTGGAATGGAAATTTTAATACACAAACAGGATCTAAGGTTGTCCCATTACCTGATTGAACTGAGGGTGAACGCCTTTCAGCACCACTGTACATACCCTCCATTTGCATTAAGCATAGCCAGCAAGCCAGCGCAGAGATTCACCAAAGGGGCCACTTTGCGTATGCAGTCCTTGAGGCAGTGTTTTTAAACAAACAACCCTTCTGCCAGCGATGCATCTACTGTGAGCCCCTTTCTGTGCCCTGGCTTCTGACTGTACAAATGCACTTCCAGAAATCTATGAATCACACAAAGATTCATACAGATTAACATGGACTGGTGCACCACAGAGGGAGATTGTATTGTCCTAGGCTCAGATACTGTAGATAAACCACACTGTGATGAATGTATTAGCTTGTGTGATAGCTGGTGTCCACTTGCTGATCGCATAAAGTGCATGTTGGTTACAGTGAAAGCATGGTGTGATTTACACACTGGCATTTAAATCTCTTCACTCCAAAGGCCATGTTTTTTGTGTGCCCTGGACTAAACGTTGGCTATATATGTTCCACATATTTAGAAACAAAGAATCCCTTGATAACTTGGTGATGTCTCATTTGGTTTGTAGTTATTCAGTGATTTTAGCCCTATTGTATCTTTTTAATGGCCTGGGACCTGAAAATAACTCCAGACCATGTATTTCAAATGTTTGGACAGACTTTCCCACATTAAATCTTTGCCCAGGTCTGGTATACTGTCAACAAAAGCAGAGCACAGTAACTACATTAGCAGTGACATAATGGATAAAAGCCATCAGCTATTTTAGCCCGGACAATGACTGTAAAAGAAAATATATAACAAATTGAATGTACGTTCACCCAAACAATTGTTGCCACATATGTAACAAAATAAATGATTTACAGTACCTCAATTTAGAACAGAATAGGAAAAGGTTTGTGAATTCAATATGTTATGGTCACGCGATCACTCAAAATTCACTAGAGTCATAACTCAACAGATATTCAGATGTGCTAGACACTTTTAGTGTGACTTTGCTGGGGTCTTTTGTCTTTCTTCTCCATTATGTATTAATTACACTGCTGCCTTATTAAAGGGTGTAAAAAAAACAACAACTTAACAATCAAAATGTAATTTAGTGAAGGTGTTTGTTTCTTTGGTTAAAGGAAACAAAAAAGAAAACCCATAATTAAATTGAGCTTAGACTTTAGCTAGGGCTTTCCTCAGCTATCTCTCAAATCCAGCTTTCACTTGATATAGGCTTTTTCCTGAAGCTGCCAGGTTATCTGCTTTATAAGGCAGAGGGTTTTTTTTAATGGTTTGACAAGTCCTTCCGCACAAAGATTGTCAAGCTAGGAAGCCAAAACCGTGTTTTAGGTGTGTTTTGAAGTTTTGAAGCCTGTAACAATTTAAAAGACAATCAGTAACAAGTTATTACAACACAATCTTGACTAATGTTGTCACTGCATTTTGCTTTTGCAGGACAGAATACTTTTGACGTACAATACAATCCCATGATAAACTCCCTCAGAGGTCTGGTGTTGCTTTGACATTAAAGCCATGACCCATACAAACATTTGGCTCTAAACCCCTTCTCATGGATAAGGACATGTGTCACAGACCCAATTGAATTATCTATGTCTTATCTTTCTATCTTTCCTTTCATTTCTGTCTTCTTTCTTTCGTTACTGTGTCTTTCTCCTGCTTCCTTGTTGTCTGAGACACAATCCATGAGTGTCTGTGTCATACTGTGTTACCAGCCTTCACCCAACACTTCACCTCAAACACACATTTCACATAAAGGAATGATTACATTGCCTGTGCTTGCTTCTTTGATGATGATGGTGTTAAACTGTGCAGTAGCCATATTGTAACTCCTTCCCCCTTATCCATTTTTTCTTTTTTTCCCTTTGTTTTTCTATTCTTCCCATCCCACCTCTTCCACACTTGTCTTCATCTCCATCTATTGCTGCGTTACACCTCCCTCTATTTTTTCTCTGTCATATTCTCCCTTTCCACTCGCACTCTCCCATCATCATGGTCATTCTCTCCTTCCTCCTTCGCTCCGTGCGGGGTTTGCATTCCCCCAGGCAATGCTGGGTAAGGTAACCACAGAAACATCAAGAAAGAAGGACGTCGAGGAGGTACAGAAACGCCACCGCCTCATACCCATGGGACGCAAGATATACGAGTTCTACAACGCTCCAATTGTGAAGTTCTGGTTCCATACGGTCAGTGTCAGCTTCAGCAGCACCACCCACACACTCCGCTTCCTGTTGGCACTGTCAGAGCGTACTGTATTTTCTGCAAGCGCATCTATTTCTGGTTCCCTGCTGTTAGCTTCTCTTGCCAGGGTGCCTCTATATTGTTATTAACCTCCTGGTCCACCCTGTCATTACCCAGCCTTAGTGTGGGGGGAAAGTTTGTTGTAAAGGAGATACAATTCACTTAGCAGAGAGTATGCTGGAATCATCATGGTGAGAAAAGTACAGAGGAGTAAGGTAGAGAAAGTTTTTTTATTGGCAGAGTGTAAACAAACTCAGAAACCTTTGAGTCACAGCATGTTGTCATTGGAACAAATATTGCAACAAGTAAATATTATGATGGAGTGTTTACATGTGTGGGAAAGTGTGTATGTGTGTTTTAAAGGGAACATATTATGAAAAATCCACTTTCACAGTGTTTTTGAACATTTATTTGGGTAACCTGAGTGTCTACCGACCCACAAAATGTGAAATAAACCCATCCAGTCCTTTGTTTGTGGTCTGCATAAGTCTAACACAGAGAAAAATACTGCGCTTCAATTTTGCTTTCCTTGTGACATCACAGTGGGATTCTGGTAAAAAAATATCCTCCCCTCCCCTGGTAACTCCAACTATTGACTCCACCCCCGGCCTAGAACAAAACTTTTGCACAGATCCACCATTTGTATTCTCGCTACAGAGGAGTGATGTCTACTGGGAAAATTCAGGGGGGGCTCATTGCATTTAAAGAGACACACACACTAAAACTGAGCGCTCTGAGAGAGCTGGTTTATACAGGGTCACAAACCTCCTCTGGTGCTTGATTCATGTTATATTTTGACCAAAGCACAACACAGATAATTGGACCACAGGGGATGGTTTTAAAAGGTGGAAAAGGGGTATAATATGTTCTCTTTAAATGTGTGTCTTTAGCTCTCTCTACACAGCCCTGTTCTGTAACTATAGGTGTCTTTAAAGTCTTGGTATAGCTTTTGTTTGGTGAGCATGACCGTAATGTTGATTAAGCTGCTCTTTTGTTTCACATGCCACATCCTGGGCTCCTTCAATTTTCTTGCCCAGTTGAAACATCTCTTTAACATCACCAGCAGGGATTTCACTGTTTATTTTTGCTGAGCAGTTATCTTTACCGTCTTCTGTTATATCCTGTTTTCTATTCTCCGGCTATTTACTCCCCTCCTTGTCTTCCATCCTCGCTTCTCCTATCTGCCCTTCACATTGAAGAAAAATATTCCATTGTGAATTTTTATTATTGTGCTTCAAGAAAAGATGCTGGGGTTTTTCTAAGGTCCAAATGTGGACCTTAGATTGCATCAAACAATTGTGGGTCTGGGAATAAATTGTCACGTGATTGTAATCTCTTTACCGGCAGCTGAATTCTTGTTTTAAACATTGAGTGGAAGAGAAACCATCCACAGACTGTTTGTTGTTATTATTCATGATTCTAATATGTTAAAGTTTTTCACGTTTGTTTCAAATATAAAAGTGTATTTTCTTTAGGATTTTTCTCAGCTGTCTGAGTCTCTGGTGAATATGTTCATGCAGTTTAAATGATCTCAGAGGATGAAAGGTGTTTTCGGACCAAACAGTTCTGGGGACTTTTTGAAGAGGAACTATCCACTTGGGAGTTCCTTGAGAACTACACACCATAGGGACTTAATCTGTCTGCATTCACACCACCATGGTACCTACTCTAAAGCAGGAGCTGAAAAGGTTCCTCTAAACGGGGTTCTAGAAACTAGAATAGTTCATAATTCCTGTGGTGTGGAATGAATAAAAAAGGAGGAGGGTTCCAACGGTTGCTAGAACTGAAAATGGTTCTTTGGTCCGAAAACGCCTATTGAGTCAACAGATATCTGATTAAAAGCCAGAATGTGTCATCGTGTTAATAAAAAAAAGATTTTAATACGTTTGTAGATTGCCCTCTTGTCTAATATTTAGATAGTTAGACTTGCATTGTGATTATACTTCTAATGTATCTAATCTGGATCATGATGAGCCACAGTGCAGGTATACATGAAGAATAATTGAAAGTGGACAGCTGTCATGCATTTAAATAGATAAAGCCACAGGAGACACATAATCGACATTCTCGGGCCATGCATGAAGGTGCAGCAATCAGGTGGCTTGACATCAAATCTCCATTATCAGATCTGAAAAACTGCATGAAAAGAAGGTGTAATGAGGGTCAGTGATTCACTAAATAACCGTCTAATTTGAGCCGTTACACACAAAGCCCTCCAAGCCAATTTGTTGCCATGATTGAACTTTATTGATGTGCAATTTTGCTTGGAGGCACACAAACAAGCACAAGCACATGTCCATGAATGTTTATCCTCATTTCCCTCTGTATTTTTGTTTTTTACATAGATGGCATACGTGGGTTATCTGATGTTATTCAACTACATTGTCCTGGTAAAGATGGACCTGCAGCCCTCTCCTCAGGAGTGGATCGTCATCGCTTACATTTTCACCAACGGCATTGAGAAGATGAGAGAGGTACAGCTTGTCATGACGGTTGCAACATGCAAATGTGAACCATGCATGCACAACAGGGTTAAACACACTATATTAAATTCTTCACAACTAACAGTTTACGACACACAAACACCTCCACTGTGATGTTGTGTGTCTGTGTGACTGTAACCCTAACCCTATACAGTTAAATTCAGTTGGTTTAATGTTGGAGGGCAAAGACTAAAGATGATTTCCACATCATCAAATGGCTCATAATAAATAGTGAAAGCTAAAGACAGAGTTAAAGAAATAAAGAAAAAAGGGGACAGTGTGGTGGACATTAATACACTAGAAGGAGATGTGGAGAAAAAAAAAAGAATATAGTCAATTGAAAATATGTGGCTGCATGAGAATATGGGGTTCAGCCTTACTCTGTTTCTGTGGATTTACTGTAAGTGTATGAAATGCATAAATCATTATGTCACATCATTCTCAGCTGTGAAACAATGCTTCCCTTTGTTTGGTGAACACATACTGCCCTCTTATGGCAGCCATGATCAAATGCATTTTTGTTGTCCTTTCTATTATTTGAGGCTGATTCCATCGTCGTCATTCTCATCTTTCTTAACTAGTATTCCTTGATTCCTTTTCCAGATCCTGATGTCGGAGCCGGGGAAGTTGTTACAGAAGGTGAAGGTGTGGCTTCAGGAGTACTGGAACATCACAGACCTCATGGCCATCCTCATATTCTCCGTCGGCATGGTTCTGCGTCTGCAGGAGCCGCCGCTCATGAGCTACGGGCGGGTCATCTACTGTGTTAACATCATCTATTGGTACATTCGGCTGCTGGACATCTTTGGGGTCAACAAGTACCTGGGTCCTTATGTGATGATGATTGGCAAGATGGTGAGAGGAGACAGGGGTTGTGACTTGATGTGTGTGTATAGTGTAAGCTTGCGTATATATGTTGGTGTCTTCAGCGTCTCTTTCACTTCTTTCCTCATTTTATATTCTTGATTTATTTTTTTACTTTGTCTTGCCTTCGACCTTGACTCGTTACAAAATCTACTGATTATAAGTTTACCGAATCCTAAAATAACAAGGGATTCATTTGTATGTGGTATAGAGGCTGGATCCTAATAAGCTCCTGTGTCCTCTGAAACCTATTGTTTGATGTCAAAGCGCTAATGAAGAGAGCCTCTGGTGCACATGTGCAGCAGAAGGGATCAAAAGCCCAAATCGGTATCTGTCTGATGTGCAATTGTCTTTGACATTGGCTGTGTACCTCTGCGCATGAACTGTCTTTGATATGAAAATCCGCATTTTGTTAAGACCAAAGAATTAATGAGAGGGGAGAGTAGGGTCATCTCAGTACAGGATGTTGTAACAACTTTACTACAGGAAATACCACTGTACACCAAGGCCACCTTCTTTTCTTCTAAATTCATAGCTAATACAGTTTTACAAAAATGTTGAAAGTAATCTGTTTTCACCTTGTGATTTTAACAAAGCAACGATAATTACAATGATATCTGTAGCTCTAATTTGGCATAGTTACATATATCTTTGATGTGTTGACACTTTACAGAGATGTGATGATTTGAAGCCTTAAAAACTACAAAAGAGCTAGTGTAACTGAAGTTTGTGGAATATAGATTAGCCAAGAGGGAGTGTATGCCAATCTTGGCTTTATAACTTCAGCTAGCATCCGGGCATGTGTGACCATGCAATAAATCTGGAATTAAACTAATTAAGCACTTGTTGTATACTGAGAAGAAAAATGAACTGAGGTTTGATTGACTAACAGTGAATGTTGGGAGGGTTGGCAATTAAAAAAAAGTAAATGCAGAACATTGCCAATCTGTTATTTTTTGTTGCTTTTCTCGCTCTATCTGACCAACAAATGTCCCTTCTGTTGCCACATTTTCCACCTCATACCTACGTCCTTTACTTTATTAATGTCCTTAGGTTTTATCACTGTTTCTTTTAAGAATCTTACCAACTTACCTCTTCCCTTCTCTCTTTGGCAATCCTCCTCCTCCCTCCCATCCTTTGTCAGATGATCGACATGATGTATTTTGTGATCATCATGTTAGTGGTGCTGATGAGTTTTGGGGTGGCACGTCAGGCCATCCTTCACCCGAATGAAGACCCTTCCTGGATGCTGGCGAGGAATATCTTCTTCATGCCTTATTGGATGATCTACGGAGAGGTGTTTGCCGACCAGATTGACCGTAAGTTCAGGGAAAAAGCACTTGAACTTTTAAAATAAGCTTCATTATTGTTAATTTGAGAAAAATTGTTCCTAAAGAGAGAGATACAAATAATACACACCTAACTCAATGCTCAGACATTCCTCCATGGGCTGACAATACCTTCATTTTTTTAGACTTGAATTACTATAAATTGCATTCTAAATATTTATGTCAAGTTACTTGAATGCCCGTATATGTTTAATGCCATTTTTTGTATGATCTGTCCCTAAATGATTTAACACCCTGTAGAAACGGATCAATGAATCACACTTAGAGCTGTGAGCAGTGTCTGAACGCAAATGTTTTAAGAATGCAAGTGGATTCATGTGCTGTTCTGTTGTCCTTTTGTATAGTAGTATATATGATGGTGTGTCCAGAATGTGAGGAGTGGCCCAAAGAGAAGAGATCTGAAATAATGTTTTCGTTCTTTGTTTCAGATAAGCATAGTAGGAAGTTACAGCACAGGCTGAATGAAAAACTCTGGCTGGTCGATAATTACATTCGAACACATGGAAGCTGGCGTAGTCATGGTCCATCCAACTCAGCCCAGTGCAGTCAAACTCCCAGTAAATCCATATATATAGGCCTCAATTTAACTACATTAACCTATTCCACTTCTCCCTCATCATCCTCACATTATCACCATGTCATGCCCACTCTGACCACTAGAGGCCACTGGAGGCACAAGTGTGCATGCAGCTCCATGCGCTCTGTGGTTAAAGTTGCCCTCATGTATTTGGGATCTTGGGTCAGCCTTTGTATTTAAATACGATTTCTCTAAAAAAGCAGAGGCTTGTTTTAGAGAAATGTAAAGCATATGATTGGCATGTTTCAATAAAGCAAAAAATCTATCCATTTTTGGAAGAAGTAAAAAGGAGCCCCACCTAAGGCTTTTTCATGGAGGCAACTTCAACCTTGCTAATTTGGGCACTGGCTCTTGCATGGCAGAAGCACTTATCAAATGAATCGTAATATTTGAAGGGTTTTTGCTTTTGGTCACATCAAGAGGAAATATCAAAGTTACGAACTTTACGATATTTCCTCGGTGTCCCTTCCACCCATCTGTCTTTTTTTTCCAAGTAGTTTCATTTGAAGAAGTGACCCTGCCATGTTTGCAACGTCTGGCACTTATCACCCTCCCAGCTCAGCTTCTCACTGGAGCAATTGCAACGCTGCTAAAATATTTCTGCATCGTCAACACTTTACATTAGTAAATATAATATCAATCCACACTATACATTAAAAAAAATAAAATAAAACACACACACCCACATCAAAATATATTTAACAGCCTCCTTCATCATCTATAATCTGTTTTTCTTACGTGGTTCAGTTGTCAGAGTTTTCAATCCAAATTTGTTTGAAGGTAATTGTACAAAAAATAGAAAATTACTTCAGTTCTCTGTCTTTGGGCTGCATTGTGTGAAACAATTGAACATGAAGGCAATAATGAGCATGACAAGAATGAATCTCAAAGGCAAACAAACCAAGAACAAATGCTGAATGTTCCCCAGATAAGCCACAGCAACTGAACCATCCCAGATGGAAAAACATACTATGTATCCTAAATACATTTCGATGTATTCGAAACAATCAATCATTGCTGAATGAAGCTATGGCGCACATATGTGGCAATATATTTGAAACATTGACGACATGTTTAAATATATTGAGAACACAAATTGTGATGAGATGTGATGTATGCATCTGTTGTGTCTATTTTGTTTTCAGATTTCACATTTCTGAACATTAGTTCTCCCCATTACGATGTCCACTCTTTGCAGCCCCTTATCTAAGAAGCATAAACACAAGCTATGCTTCTTGTTTGTTTGCAGAATATGAAGACTTTTCATGTGTCATTGTTTTTTTCTGTCTTCAAACTCAGAGTACAATCTATACTTTAGTGTGTATTTTTTTGCTTTTTTTTACTTTTGTCTATATTCTGTACCTTCTGTTAATGTTTTGTTATGTCTGCATGTCTTTCCAAGTTGTTATACATCTACACATTTCTACTAAAATATCAAAGGATTCCATAGACGGAGTGAACCTTGTATTAACTTGTATTTGTGTGTGTTTGTTTTGTGGTATCCTGCAGCCCCCTGTGGGCAGAACATCACTGCAGAGGACGGGGTGGTGGTGACGTTGCCTCCCTGTAAGACGGGTGCCTGGATTGTCCCAGCCATCATGGCCTGCTATCTGCTCGTCGCTAACATCCTGCTCGTCAACCTCCTCATAGCTGTGTTCAAGTACGTAAGCTGTCTAATTTTAAAGTTAGCTTTTCCAACCCACTGCTTTACAGACAGCTCCGGACCTAAGATACTTTTTTTTTGAGAGCATGGTGTTAAAAAAATGATAATAATTATAAAAAAGATTTTTGCTTTCCTCCCACATTCCCACAAAACATCACTTAGATGTGGCTTTTGCACTTACAGTAGCAGTATCCAATTAGCGCTGTTTCAGACACAACTGTCTGAACTTGTCTTGATGTATGGGTAAGGAAAAGCAAATTGTCTATACAGAATGGGATAGTGCTTCTTTCTCCAAGATATTTATATACTAATGTTCTGTTAGTGGGGTACTCAATAATCTTTGTAGCAGGAAAGATCGTCCTCTTCTACGTGTTTGTAAAAGTAATTTGCAAAAAGTACAAAAAATGTGTAAAAAACGACGGTTACACAAGTTTTTCTCACTTTAAACGTTGCAGTAAGTAACCATTGATTACCATTGGCTGTTGCATTTATTTTATCTCTACATTCTCTCAACATATAGACTTCACTCTGCAATGCAGCAGCAAGCTAAGTGAGGGAATTAGTTCATCAGTCTGTATACCATGTGTTATGATCTTTGTTGTGCAGCCACCGACCTGATTGCGTTTATTTGAGCTCTCCGTGGATGTGATATATTTTGGTGTGGCATTTTGTGTCTGTCCATGGTCACAGTAACACGTTCTTCGAGGTGAAGTCCATCTCCAACCAGGTCTGGAAGTTCCAGCGCTACCAGCTCATTATGACCTTCCATGAGCGCCCAGTCCTTCCTCCTCCCCTCATCATCTTCAGTCACATAACCATGGTCCTCAAACATCTGTGCTGTCGCTGGCGCAAGCATGACGACGACGAGCGGGACTATGGGCTGAGTGAGTGGCAGATAAACATAAACAAGCCTGGCAAATAGCATGAACGACAATATTTTCAGTGCTGTGCTAAAGTTGTTTTATTCGTAAAACAGCTAAATAACAAATAACACTGTCATTAACTTTTTGTCAAACCCTCTCATCCACAGAACTTTTTATCACTGAGGATGAGCTGAAGAAAGTCCATGACTTTGAGGAGCAATGCATAGAGGAGTACTTCAGAGAAAAAGATGACAGGTTCCACTCCTCCAACGATGAGAGGATCAGAGTCACTTCTGAAAGGTCAGAAAACGCTATGCAGAAAACTTCTGTCTGCGTTTTACCTTTTTTTGCTCATGAAAAACTGTCACCTGTGCCCTGTCTGGCAGAAACACAACCCTCAGTCTTAAGGTCCTATTTGAGCACACAATTTTTTTTTATTGCATGACATTTTAAGCAGTGCATAAACACAGCTTAAAAGCTTTCAGTAACATCAACACCAACGCACTAGACTCCTGCTGCTGTTTATTTTTCAAATAACCACAAAGGTGTGAACTGCCTATACAAGCAAAGGAAAACAAAGTTTAACTGGATAGTTTACCTCAACTTTGATGCTTGATAGTATGATTGACTTCTCAGCTTTTTCTTTTCAACAGTTTGTTCAGTTATTTGTGTCACATGAACAGTTATTTTGTGTTGTGTGTGCATATAAAAGCATTTCTGTTTTTGCTTACTTTCATTTCTTCATTCCTCGACGGATTTCTAATTTAAGTATATTTTCTCGGTGAAGAGATCTTTGCCTCCTTTTCTCTCTACTTGAAATGTGCGATGCATCGGTTTAATATCGGTGTTGTCCGATATCGAGCCTGTTAACAGATATTCGACACATCGGAAAATAATGTGGCATAAACTGATGTCAGTAGCCGATGTTTGTCTGCTGTGTCATATCAGTCAAACACTGGTATCTTACCAGTTAGTCTACATAACTGCTGATTCAGAGAGCAGTTTTTTACAGTGAAGACAAACTCTGTTCTTTTTTCATGGTCAAACATGAGAGAAAATGTTGGAATTTTGTGGGTATCTTATACCAAAAGAAGTAATCATCAGTGTTGGATCTGCAATATGCTAAATTTTCAACATTGGTATCAGCCTTGATTTTCACAATCGGTGCATCCATACTCTCCACAGTTCTCCCCCTTTGCTGTAAGTCCTGTCTTTCCTTTCTTCTCAGGGTGGAGAATATGGCAATGCGTCTGGAAGAAGTCAATGAAAGGGAACACTTCATGAAGGCATCACTGCAGACTGTTGATATTCGTCTTGCCCAAATGGAGGAGCTGATCGGCAGAATTGCTGTGGCACTGGAGCGTGTAACCGGTGTCGAGCGAGGAGAGGTCAACAAAGCACGTTCCAGGACTTCATCTGACTGCACAGACTCAGCATACATACTCCGCCAGAGTGAGTGTGCAGAAGCAGCGTACATCCTTCGTCAGAGCAGCTTTAACAGCACAGAAGGGAACGCATACCGTCTGCAAGAGGCGCTGGAGGGAACAGCTGAGGGCTCCATGTCACCTCCTTCTCCGACCACCTTGGCCACACGTACAAGAAGCCACTCCTTTTATGTTGGAGGTGGTCGCGGGGTCGAACGTGCAAGTCGAGCCGAAAGAGCTGAGAGCTTCTTCAAGGAGCGATCACTCAGTCTCCACCGAGCCAACAGCTCTCAATCAGTGTCCTCAGCTGCCGCCACCAAGGAGTCTAAGCCCCTCCCTCTTGCGACGCTGTCAGTCTCCCAGCAGCACCGTCCATCATCATGCATAGATATCTATGTCTCCGCATCTGAGGAGGTGGGGCCGGCGGAGGTCTTTCTGAATCCTCTCCGTGTGGTCCCACAGCTCCAGAGAGACTCTTCACTGCAGTCAGATATCATGGAGACGGTGCTGCCGGGAGGCCGGGACTTCAGCAGCGCCGCCGCCAGCGGTATGGGCGACAGACACTCGGACGGCGGCGCAGGAAGCAGCGGAACAGCTGGAGCCATGTTTGAAGACAGCGCTGCTGCAGATTTGTCATTGTGCTCCGCCCACCTCTTACCAGACACCACTTTACCTCCTTGGGACATGGAACCATCCCCACCTCCCTCCGCAGGGCTGCTTGAGCGCTCCAAAAGCAGCCGCTACCTCTCCACTGCAGGCACTGGGTTCCTGGATGAGCCCCCTCTGGTCAAGTCCCACAGCCTCATGTTTACACCACGAGGCTGCTACAGTGGTCTGGGGGCTGGAGTCCAGGTGAAAGCTGCAGAGTACACCAGCATCACAGACTGCATTGACACACGCTGCGTCTCAGCTCCGTACACCCCTGTAGAACGCTCTCACTCCCCCGGAGGGTCCACCTCATTCCCCTTTGATAAACCCCCTGAAATTAGCTCTTCTCATCCAGAGAGAGAGGCGGAGCTTAGTCATACTGAGTCTGATCCAGAGGACCCTGAGGATTTGATCCCGGCCCCTGATACCCCTCGTTTAGGGGGTTTCAGCGGGCCAAGTGGGGCCCCTCTCTGCTCCCCCTTCTCCAGGCTAGAGCGAGCAAACAGCTGCTCCTCAGATGACTCCCATCCTTCCCTCACACTGGCTCCTCCGCACCGGAAGAGCCTGTCGGTGAGTGAGAGGATGGAGAGGGGACCAGGTCTGGGAGCAGACAGGGGGCCTGGGCCGGGGGGCCGGGGTCTGGCAGGAACCAGAAACCCTTTCCTAAGAAGCAAGTCTGGAGCACGGCCTGAAACAGCAAAGACTGACAGCCTCTCCATGAGGAAGTTGGCAACGCCGTCAGCTTTTTGCAGCTTTGATAGGCAAAACTACACGTGACAAGAACAGAGGTCAGCACACACACACACTGACAGGACCAGTAAGGAAAGCTGAGAGGGTCAAAGGTCGAAGTTAAAGCAGGGTGTAGTTGCTCATAGATCTGATCTGGACCTGATCTACTGTTTCTCACTTCTGTTTTAGGTTAGAAAATCTACAAGTTTTTTCAAAGTCAGTGCTCGGGGGCAACTTCACTGTGGATCAGGAGGAGGAGGGGGAAGAGGATTAGAGATGAAGGGGTCCTACTGTACACCAGTCAAAAACAAAGAGCTATGAATCTAGAATAGTTTTTACCTCCTCTTGTAGCTTAATAACTCTCAATGGGGTGTTATGGCAGTGGAAGGTGTGTTTGTACTGTATGTCTTCCATGCACCACCTTTACGTCAAGTAGACATCTGTCTCTGTGTTCCATCACATATCAGTCACAATAGTCAGTGAAAGTAAGCTGTTACCTCTTGCTGCATTTTTTAGTAGAAACGTTCAAGTCTGAAAGACGAAACGGTAGAAAAAAAGACAAAACTGCCCACTTATTTTTTTTATTTCTCGCAGCAAAGAGTCATTACTATCGCGTTTAATACATTGTCCTCTCTTCTTATAGACTTAGCTCCACCCTGTCAGACCCCAGAAAGTGCAAACAGAAATATTTCTGGTTACTTCATTAATAATCACTGAAGGCTTTGGAACCATCAAGAACTATTAACCCCTCTCGGCTGCACAGGAAATGATTGCAGTAACAAGGCAACAACTTACCTCTGGACACACAAATACACCTTTGAAAAATCAAAATGTATCTTTCTTTCTTTTCTTTTTTTTTTAACAGCATATTAGATTAACCTTTTATTGTCTTATTTATAGACATATACTGTAACTGTTTTCCTTTTTACTTGTCAGTTTATCTAGAAAAAGAAAGAAGTGTCTGAACACCTGTCATAAGGCCAGTACTCAGTAACATGTCTCTCCAGTCATAGCTTTTTAATGGAACAGTCAACACTGGGATTAATTAGCAACATGTACAGAGAGAAAAATCCAAACATTATCAAGGAAAAGTCATGAAGAAAATGTGACATGAATGCAGTCTTTGACGATTTATCTTTGGGGCAGTGAATCTATAACAAGCAACAGTGCATGTTAAAATGCTGATGCATAGTCACGTAACCATGCATGAGAATTTGCACGCATGCAAGGGCACTAAAATCTAACTGAGAAAATGAACCTCATTTCAGGCCTGATCAATTAGTGTGTAACAAGTGCAAACATTTGGGACAAGATGGCGCTGTTGGTATACTTAAGAAGTGATACTTTTTGAGTGTACCTGACTTGAACCTTCTTTGCCTGCCCCAACACCTGAACTTACACTCAACAAACTCTTGCTAATTTATTCGGAAGCGCATTGCATTCACCAAATTTTTTTTTTTTTTACACATTATCTCTTATCTCGTAATTATGAGGTCTTTTCTCATAATGTGTCTAATTTTTTTTTTCTTTGGTGAATGCAATGCACTTCTGTAAATTTAAACACCAGCCACCCTTACACAGGGTTGGACAACAACATAATTTCCAAGTGGTTAAACATCCACCTCCACTTAATGGATCCGTCCTTCATCTATTCCATAACTGTCAATCCTTTGCTTTTCTACTGTATTTCTTTAACTGCTCAGAAAGAAAGCAAGTGCAAAAATAGACTTAAAAGGAAGTTTATTGCCCGATTTCCAAGCCTATTAAAAATCTAATTTAGTGCAGAGAGGGTCTTTCTTCTTAAGACGGTTAATAAAAGTATGTATATGCATTCTAGATGACACATTAGATTATCATGCATTTTATGTGACATGAGTTGGGAAACATGGGGTTATTATGGGAAAAAGATGAAAGCCAGATCAGTGTTTGAAACATTATTTTTTACGCTAATGAAAAACATCTTGGGGGAAGATGCTCTTCTCTATCCTTGTAAAGATAAGAGAGTAACACTGGAATACCTACTGATTTTTTTTATGTTTGTATATCTTTTCATTATCACGATTCTCTTGAATCATGTTGCATTTATTTTGAGGTTGATTCTGTTTATTGACATTTTCCTGCTCATCACTGACAAATACAGTAAATGCCTGTTTGAATTATGAAATCAATATTTATATCTTCTCAGTGATATTTTTGTCAAATTTTAAGTATTTTCTAATTAAGCTTTTAAATTTAATAAAATATGACCATCAACATGCACTAAATGCTGATGTATATTATTTATTGAATATAGAACTGTCTGATATGCTGTACATTTCAATCATATTTAAAGTAGTTTTTTATCGTATGTTTTATCAATCAGATTTTAGGAATTTTCTAATATAAAGTTGACTTGGCAGCACAGCACAATGTTGCCAGTGAACCACACTTAGGGTGCCTTTTGGGGCATGGATGGAGTATGTGGGGACTGAAGTGAATCAGAAATCTGTCGAAATGTTTATGTTTGTTTTTAATCATAGAGTCCCCCCCCCCCCCCCCCAAATTTCTGTGATTATTTTTTAATAGACAGCATTTACATCCACTCATACACCTTTGTTATTATCACTATTGTACAGAGTGGGGGAAATGTTGTCATATAAAGGCTGTATCATTGCTTATGGAAATGTAATTGTATCTACCAAAAAAAATCGAATTCAGAATAATTGTTTCATATTTGAATAGAAGAAAAATCTATTTGCACATAAAACTAAGACATAATGAAAAGAAAATAACTCTGTGACTCATCCCAATCTGTTTGACGTCCCCAATTTGTCATTATCTTGACTCCAACCTTAGACCTTAAAGAAGCAATGTAGTACTGATTCTCCACAAAGTTGGGAGACTTTCTAGTGATATATTTTGGAAATAAAAGTTTGAAAGTGAAGGAACAAATGGTTAACTATAATGACTTTTTGCCCGAAGAATGGGCTAAGCCTAAAAAAACACAGGATCCTGAAATTCAACCCAACAGAAAACTTTGTTACACCTCTGTTTGTTGACGAATCATCACCCCTGTTATGTAACTGAAAAGTACTCCCAAAACCAGTAAAATGACATGTAGGCCTATTTGTAAAATGTGTGGATTTTCCATTCCACTTACACATTACTCTCATGAATTGCATTGTGGACTCATGCTCAGTAGTGAATCGTTAGGTCAGGCAGATTGGGAGTTACACTCTTGCATTTAATAGGATGTTCTTACCAGTTCAAATTCTTTGATAAATAAACAGACTTAAGTGTTTTAAAGAGGAAGTTTGACCCGAAGTCAATGCTCAGGGACTGAAGTGATGCAAGAAAACATGACCGTCTTGGAATCATGGAAAAAAAAAGAGATTTGAATTTGTCTTCAGCTGCAGGCTACATAATAATCACTGTGCTTTATGAGTCTAACTCGGGATCTCTGGGGACTGTAGGGAAATCTATACATTTGTGTCTTATGTCTTATGAAATGGCAATAGAAAAATGAAAGATTGTCTTGGTACCTGACCAACAGACTTTGTTCACAGACAGGTTTTAATGTTCCTTACTATCTAAACTTTATGACTTGCATATTATTAGAGAGGGCTTTGGTCACACACAGCTGACTCTCAGGCTCAGAACCAAACCAAAGTTAAACAAACCAAATGGAAATGAGCCGTGTCGTGCTCTGCTGACCTGTTGTCTACACAGCTGTGGCACAAAGGGTTAACCAAGCAAGGGTCATACAGTTTAACTGAGTTTTAAATGCATATGAAAACAGACTAGTGCGACGGACTGAAAGTTGAGGACGTTTTATTTGACCAGTAAGAGATATTAGACAACAACGTCAATGTTAATTCTAAACTTAACAAGCCCGTGACTGGGTTTTTAATATGCTGACATGGCAGTTGTTGAAGATACTGACAGGAAGAGAGTGTGCGTGCGAACCTGCGTGGATGTGTGTTCATAAACTGTGTGATCCCAGACATGTAGGTGACACCAACAATAGGGAGTCATGCCAACCCAAAAGAACCCAACAGAACGTCAATGAACAGTATTTTAAAAACTTCTTCCAAAGTTGTATCTTTACTTTTCTGAAATTAGGATCATATGAATAAAATCAACAGGTCTGCTTCTCTCCTCTGACAACCTGTGTCTCGTAAAAGGTGAAAGAGAGCTCCATGCACATGTTTTGTCCTGCAATAACTGCTGATTTTGCGCTTCTACAACTGAAAGGGAATATCCCTCTACTGGTCACACGTTATTTAATGTCCTCAAATGCATGCAGTTCTTCCCCTCAGAGTGTACAGAGGCAACCTGTTATGACAACTGAGAGAGAGCTAGAGAGAGATTATTATATGAATTTAAATTAGTGAGTATTTGGATGCAAAAACAAATCTGTATTCTTCAATGTGAATAGGATCATGTCTGGCATGCATTGTTAAATAAAAATTTTAATAGGTTGGTACTCTGTGTCTCGCCTGTTTTTACTACACCAGAATCTTTAAGCATTTAAAAAAAAAAAAGATTGAAGCTTTTTCTGTTCGACAAATGTGATTAACTTTGTTCAGCAGTTCAGTTCAGTTTGTATACAAACATCAGGAACATCATTTCTTTTACTGACCTGTCAGCAGAGAGCTGTTAACCTCTTCTGTACTCTTCATTGGACAACGCCTAAAACATCAAATACCCCAAATGGTGAGATGAGTAGACAGGTAATGCCTGGCTGGCTGCTGATTTAAAAAACTTTTTTGCAAACTGCCCTAAACTGGTCCCATAAGAGGAAAAACTCGAAAATTTAGGGTAATGCTGTATACATTTGAAACATTGCGTGTAGACAAGTCACATTTACAACACACACACACACACACCTTTCTTAAAGTAAATCTGTTTCAAGGTACATATCTGGTCCTTTGCTCTGCCTGCCTGGGTGTATTTTTAGTCTGTGAAAAAAAAGAATAAGAAAACACCCTTGTACAACATCTGTAACAAAAACAAAAACAAACAGAGCTGCTGTTTTTATGTTACTTGCAAAGATATTGCATCATCCACACAATAACACAACTGTCTGTGCCTAAAACAGATAATATTATGTGCAACAGCCTTGTGATTAATGAGTGTTCTGTTCAATATTTTGATACTGCATGTTGATTCACTACAATGAAATATTGAGTATTGAGGCAATCGTTCAATAACATTGCATTGTATAGTAAGCCTGAGGTATAAAGGTGCACACCCTTTGACACTAGATCCCTTTGAATGATGGAATTTGGTCATATGTAAACACCGTATTGGGATTTAATCCACATTTCTCTGACACTTGTTTTATAAGATTAGAAAATCTATTCAAGAATAGATATTTTATAGAAATACACCGTTCTTTATGCATTGGAAGACACACACATGAAACACATTATCTTATTTAAAGCATTTGATCAACTCAATGTACAGATGGTATCAAAAAAGTATTGGAGTAATGTGTTTTAGGTTTTATAGAAACATATTCTGAAAAGCCTATACCTGAGCCTGCTTTAACATTGTAATAATATTGTCATTGATCAACATTGGGCTACATTAATGAGACATTTTCAATGTGTTTGCTTCTATTGATTTGAACTACAAATAGCTCATTTAATTTGTATCACTATATTACATTATAATGTAATGTGTGAGGGGGAGGGAGTGTTTCTGTGGTGTAACCAGTAGGCTAGTTACTAAAGCTGTGTGGTTCAGTGGGCTGGTCAGTTGCGGTGCGTCAGCTGTGTGAGGGAACATCCTGTACCGAGACAACGCACGTGCAACCCTCCCTCCACTCCATAACAGGACACGCCCGCGCTCGCTCACCAAAAGAAAAACAACCGTACCAACTCTGACACAATCAGCACATCATGTAAGCATAACAACATGACCCAGAAGCGTACGTGTGCACTTTTGAACTTTTGAGTGAGAAGGCAAGAAGAGAGCAGCAGCCGTAGAAGGCGCAGAAGAAGCACCTCCTCTTCCAGGGAATGTTTGTTTCAGCATCGCCGGAGGAGGAGCTGCTGGAGGGCGGCTGAACGCGCCCCCACGCACCAACTATTCAACCAGAGTTTTTTTTTTTTTTTTTTTCTCGGAAACTTGGGGTGGGGGGGGGGGGGTTCTGCCACCGAGCAGAGAAAGTGGAGTGCACAGGATATTCCAGGAAAAGGTGTTGCTGCTCTTTTCTGCCTTAAACGACATATGTTGTGCTCAAACAGGGACTTACTTGTCCGCAGTCTTACTCGAATCGTCTCTCTTGATTCTTGTCTCTAATATCGTCAGAGCATATAGGGATCACTTTAAATCTACGCGTAGGCGGTGATTCACTGCAGGATTTAACTTGAACTGAAGAGGAGAGGCGTGGTGCTCCTCACTGCCTGCTTTGAAATACTGCCTCAGCAGCATGACGTTCCCACAGTGAGCAGAAAAACAGCGTGACCATGTCATTATTTAACACGAGGTTTCTTTGAAGAACACAAGGCCACACGGGGATTTTTATGAGTGATTCACCACCAAAATCGGAAAAAATACCTCCTTTTATGGGTTTCAAAACTTTTATCTGAGTCACTTTATTCCCACATATAAACAACCCAATGGAGAGCAACATGTTGCCCACTCAATTTATGCAAGAGGAGGCAGCATTGCTCAATGCACCCCCAAAGCCAAGTAGGATTTCTAGGAACTTCACCCATGAATGAACTGCCCACTGCACTTGAAGCTGCTTTTTTTCCTTAGTTAAGGGTCCTGTTACACTTGGTGGACTATAGCTGCATTACAGCCTCTATAGCAGAGTGTTGTATTTATAGGATTGTAAATATGCACATTGTCAGTCAGACAGGATTAGCAGGGCTACTTAACACTTATGCATTATAACACATGCAGCTGCATCATAAGTCTATATGGAGCTTCTTTCCATATAAGGTTCTAAGTTATTATGAGCACACGTTTACTGCTTGTAACCTTATTGAAAAGACAGTTTGGTGTTGGCTTGACACCTTCGTGGCAATCGTCTGTGCTCAATTGAATTGACTGAAAAACACCACACAGTGCAGGAGACAAAGGCCTGACACCAGACTCCAGTGTTACAAAAAGCATGCAAAAATCCACCACCCTGGCGTGTTGACGCACAGAGGAAATATAACTGACGCCTTATTGAAAGGACATCTCTAATTAAATGAGTGGGAACACTGGCTTTGCAGGATTAAGATACGCATTGTGTTTGGCTGGCTCATACCTCACATAATACCAGAAAAAAAATGAGTCATTGCAGAACTCTTCATGCCTATCTACTTTGAAACTCCACTCGATTGTATCATATGCATCGAAGTTGAAATTTTGTAATACTTTTTCACAATTAAAATATTCCTTAATATATAAATTCAATAAAAAAGTAACTTACATATACTGACACAGAGCAGTCATAAAGGCTATAACTCTACTATGACATAAGCTACTATTGTTAGTGCTCATACCTAATCAATAACCAGTCAAGAAATAGCGTAATAGGCCTGTGATGCCTAATTATATAGCGGTCTGTTGTTGCATTTTTTGTGTCAGTGTGTCATTCCTGTTATTATTTGACATAATACACAGAACTGACCCCATAACATTTTAAAGTTTTCATGAACTTTATATGGCTTTAATACCCCATATCTCACATTAAAAATATATACTGGAACATGGATATCCTCCATGCACAGTGTCAAGAGAGTTTACATTTGTGCTACAGAGTTCAAGTGCAGCTCTGAGGACAGTCGAGGACTGCGCTAAATCGGGATCAGAGCACATTAGGGAAACAGGGTCACAAAGTGAGACCTGTCTACAGCTAAAGCATTATGGGTCACAGAGGGTGGCCTATTTCACATTCTGAGAAAACAAAAACACATCTCTATGACATAGACTTGTGTGTTAAGCCCTGCATGATTGTAAGCCCCCTATGTGAATATTACCAACAAAAATCCCAAATATGACACCCTGTTTCAATCAGTTTATTCTTCTCTCAAGAATTCAATCAAAATAATACCCACAAACAAGGAAAAGATGTTCTTGCTTTTGCAGCCATGATAGCTCGAAGGAGAATACTTTTAGAATTGAAATATTTTATACCATCAAAGGTATCATCGTGGCTTCCTGATGATGATGTTTTTGAAAAATTAAAATATTAAATACTTTCTTAAAGGATCAACCAAGACATTCTACAAAGTCTGGGACCCTTTACTCGTTTATTTAGACAGATCTGCAACTCTCCCCATTCACTAGTAAGCTGAAACATAAAGCACAAACAACTATATCACCTTTAGAGACCCCCCCCCCCCCTTTTTAACTATTGTTGAAATGCTATACATTTCTTGTAACACTGGACATTCCTTGTCTAAAAAGTAATGTATCGTAACCATTGTAAAATTCTACAATTTGTATCAGATTCAGAATCAGAAATACTTTATTAAACCCGTTTGCTACAGTTGCTCATAACACCAAAAAATCAGTAGGAAGTAGAGATAAGTTGGGTTATTAAGTATGCGATTGTACCTACTTTTTCTAGATAGTAGCCTACATATGTTGTCTAAAAAATATACTAAAACTACATGGGGGGGAAAGGATGCAATCAAAATAAAAATGAAGTAGGCTAGTATGCTTATGAGTGCTGCTCAAACCCAATGAACTGGTGTAAACAGCTGCATTGTTGTTTGCCTTGTGTTTGCTTGCATGGTTTGACCTTCACTGATTGACACCTGTGCTGTTCAATAAATGGTGTTGCAGCTGAAGGCGGGACATCCAGCTACACCAGTAGCCACCTTGTAGCCACTGGTTTCTTAGAAACTAGACCCCCCCCCCACACACACACACACACACACACACACACACACACACACACACACACACTTGTCCGTGAAGTCGGTCATTTGATGTAATCTAATTGTTCGCAATGAAACATGACACTTTAAACTAACCTCTATGGTTTCAACTCGCACGTTCAGCACGTGCAGATCTGCTGCTTAACAGCAATCTTCATGCATGTCGTTGTTTCTTGTCTTTCTCCCCTTCCCCCCTATTTTGCAAACCAGTGTGGCCTTGTCAATGGAACAATGGAAATCATTCCATTTATTGACATCCGAGCAATTTTACACACATGTAAACAAAGTATATCGGGCTGTAGGCTACTGTCTTTGGAAAAACACACAATCCATTAACTTCCGCAGAAAACAGGCTTCTCCAGCACTATATGTATCAAATGTATATTCTCCAGCTTGAGGCAACAGTGTGGGTCTGGGGGCGTGGCATCCTGAGTTCATGCTAGGGTGCTGCGATGCTGCGTTCGGGTGCCTCTTCATAGCGTGGAGTAAATTTGAGCTTTATTCGGCAGACAAATTGGATATGGTCGCAAGCATTGAAGAAATATAGTGAAGGTTTTTTCTTGTTATCTGGGAATGAATTAGTTAAAAGTGCACATTGGAAGAAGCATTTTTGTCATCCAAATGTATACTGCTTCTGTTGCTCTTCCTGAGTTGTCTTTTATTTATCCTTGGGAAGGGTATTTTTCCTTTTCTTATTCTGGGTTCTTTCTATGGGTAAAGGTAAAGGAGCCTATCAAGCCTATCAAGCTATCCCATGTAAACGCACTGACACTGTGTTGTTCAAGGAAATTAAGGATAAAGGGAGGTACATAAATACAATGTGATTGACTTGAATTAAAATGTACAAATGCATGGTAGCCTACACATTTATTTTGTTTGTTCAAACCTGTTTCTATGCCTGTATTACTATTTTGTTTTAGCTTAAACTTGGATTCCATTCGTAATAGCCCCAAAAATGTATGAATTAGTTGTTGACTCAGTCCATTTCTTGGTCAGGAGAAGTAGGACAGAAGAAGGAAATCAATTGATAGGCCTACTTCATCCTACATTTTACAATTGAAATTGTAAAATTTGTTGATTTTTATTTTGAATCTTCTAAAAAGAAATAAACTTCGAAATAAAGATAGCCTTTTAAAAAATGTTGTTCTGGACAATATAATCCCCAGTCAAGTTTGGTCCCTGAACGCGGCATCAGTTTAGTCCCGCCCTCGTTTCATCAATTCCTGCCTGTGATTGGTTTAGGATTCCATCATTCTTTCCAACAGGCAGTTCTATAATATGAGTCATGTTTCCTTCCAGCCAATCACAGACCCGTTCACTCGTGACACCGTGGGATTCCGCGAAATTGTTTCTTGGAGTTAGAGATGTGCTGCTCGCAGTGAAATAGGACAAGTTGACGCATGTGTGGCAGTGCACTGTAAGGTGGGATAAACAAAGACACAAAAGCTCAGTGAAAAAGCGCCGTGTTTTATTGACCTGGCGTAAGAAAAAAAATAAAGATTACAGAGGAAGAAGGTTAGAGGAGGAACCGGGAGCGATTCAAAGTGCTATCTTGTCCGTGGGGCTTTTTATTTCTCCACCCTGCAACCTGAAAAAAGAAAACGCAGCCTTTGCGGAATCGTCACATTGAAGACGACACGTGTGGATGGTGAACCACAAGTTTCCTGTGAGGACTGCAGGCTGATTGCCTCCGAACTATCCATTTGATCGGATTATTTCTTAAGTAAAGGGCTGCTGTAGATCAATTTTCTCTTTCCTTTATCCGGATCTGCTGAAGTGATGTCGGAGGTCGAGCTCTCTGCCGACTGTGTCCCCTGCAGACCACCGGGTCGGACAGAGGACATGTTGAAAGAGACCCCCGAGAACAGGACTTTACTGATGGTGGCTATGATTTTACTGGACTTGAACAAATGCAGCCCTAACACCGGAGGAGGCAGCAGAAGTCTCGGGGGCAGCGATGCCGGCTCGGGGGAGAAGGTGGAGCGGGGGAGTTGCCGGTTGACCGCCGTGGACAGCCCAAGCCGGGGCTCGGCGGCACCCAAACAGTCCCGGAGTAAGAGGGCGGCGGCGGTGGTCTCTAGACAGGAGTGTCCCGAGAAGAGACACTGTTGTCCCTTTTCAGGCTGTGGGAAGATGTATGGCAAGTCATCCCACCTCAAAGCCCACCTTAGGGTGCACACCGGTAAGTGGAGCCCTCTGCAAGTTACACCCCAACCAAACCCCCTGTACACCGCTTCACTGTGTGCGTCACTTCTTCCTTTACTTTTACTTCAGATGCATGTTGAAATGACTTTTTAAACTTTATCTGTGACATTTAAGAAAAGAAAATAACTCACATACAAGAAACAATCATAATTAATTATCAATAAATGTAATATTAGAAATGACAAAGTAGGCCTGTAGTCCCTTTATGTTACAGTATGCTGTGACATGAGGCAGAGACCACATGTTCCTCTAATGAATCACAGATCATGAAAGGCGGTCCTGGGAAATTTACCTCTGCTTGGGGGTGTGACTAGAGGGGCCCAGGGGCAGGTTTAGTGGAGGACTGGTGGGGGTAATAGAGATTGTTGGGTTGCTGTGTGTTACTGTGATTTGGACACGCTCCCACACTGGGATTCGGGAACACCGCGTGCCGCCGCCCATTTGCGATCCACATTAAAGATTGTTGAGGTGTAATAAGTCATCCACAAGCACCACGAGACACGAAGTCATCCAAATGACGCCCTAGTAATCAACACTTTTCTAATCGCGGGTTATGAACAATAGATTACGGTTTAAATCGACATATCCTACATTAGTATTATTGTATCAGCAGCGAGTGACAGTCTTGTAAATGTCGACATCTACGATTCACTTGCAGGTCACTGCGACACTGTTGTCCCCACATGTTCTTGTCCTGAGGTAACCCTCTCTGCACCACTATTTCCTCATACGTCATCCTCCTCCTCCCCCCCGCGCGCGTCGGGTTGTAAACAAGGGCAGACACGTGGTTCAGTGGAGCACGTGCAGGAGGAGAGAGAGAGGAAGGGAAAGTTTTGAGTTTTCTTTGCTTTTTTATTTCTTATCACGACGCATTTTTTTCCTTTATCAACATCTTCAGTTAATGTTCCAAGAAAGAGTTGCGTATACAGGCCATCTGCACTTTTATACATCTTCCATGGAATTATAGATCTTATTTTGAAACTCTGTATTTTCTTCTCCTTCGTCCTCTTGCTTTATTTTGTATCTGTTGACAAGAGTTTAGGATTAAGTTTTTGGTTCTTAATAAATGCTCTGCAGTGCTTGCACACATGGTTTTGATGTTTTTGGGATGCAGAGACTTTGTACACTTTGAAAATTATAAACAATTAATGTTTTAAACTGATGACACAAATCAGACTAACACATTGCATTACTACTTTGAGGCCACTGAGAGATTACCCCGTTTAAAACACAGTCTAATACAATGGAATTTTGCTCTCTGTGCTTTATGTCATAATTTTTTGGGCACAGTGCTATCCCTCTCCAATAAGTCTACTGTGTTTCTGTTAATTGAACAGTATATTAAACAAAAAATCATATAAGGAGAGTAAGCCCTCAGGGCAGGAGTCTAATTGACCCCAAATTTAAAAAAATGTAATCACTGTGGAAGAAAATAAATAATACAAGTGAAGAGTTACCACTCAGATAATATCCATGTTCATAATGTGCAGACGAATAATATTAAAGGAAACAATGTTGATGTTATTATTATTATTTTAAGAATAACGCAGCATGGTCTGTTAGTCCCTGAACAATAAGAAGGAAAGCCAATATCAGCAAATCACAACGGGTTAAGGTTGAACTTATTATGCAATCAAAGGAAGTACTTCAAAGTTTGCTGATATTAAATGAGTGTGTCTGTGTCTCCTCAGGTGAGCGGCCCTTCGAGTGTACCTGGCCAGACTGTGGCAAGAAGTTCTCCCGCTCGGACGAGCTGACGCGCCACTACCGCACACACACGGGTGAGAAGCGCTTCAATTGTCCGCTGTGTGACAAGTGCTTCATGAGGAGTGACCACCTGACCAAACATGCCCGACGACACGCAGGCTTTCATCCCAGCATGCTACAGGGATGCGGCACGGCCAAGAGACGCCGCTGCTCTGTATCCGTGTCCTCGTCTGACTCCGGAGACCAAAGCCCTGCTGGGCTGTGAGAAACGCCCTCATACTGTACATATACAACACAAAGGAACATGCATTAGAAACAGAGTCATGCACAAACATAGGCACGCCCACATGTGCCTGTGTGTGCACCCTTTACATAAATCCTGTCAAGACACACATCAGCTAGACCACTATTTAAAAAGTTTGTTTATGTAAGAGGATGCAAAGGCAAAGGGATAAATTCATGAGAACCTGCCTGTAATTGAACTGAAGCGTTCCCCTCTCATTGCACGAGGTGATTGGTATAAATGAACGAGTGTTCGGGATCTGTCTCGCAGGTTCTAGTTGCTTTGCCCTTTTGTACAACTTGACTGTTTGCTGTGTATTTTGTTGTACCCGGATCATCCTGAATTGAAAAAAGGCATTAGTGTACATATCTAGTTTTCATAAACGCTACATGTGCTCACTTTGCAGCACACACTACTTCATTTGCAATATAAGAACAGGGAATAATGCTTAGGGGAATATTATTGTTGCACACATACATTTATACTTGTATAGTTACTCTCCGGTCAAGGACAAGGTGAATGTACAGTATAGCAACAGAATGATCATGTCAATAGATTAAACAGATGGATGATATACTCAGTATACTGTAGTTAAATGTTATAGTACTAAGATGAAGCTATTATGTAGAGAAAAAACAGAATGTCATATGCTTGGCTATGGACTTAATAAGTCAGGTATATTGTGAGCTTATAGGTCTAGGCAGCGTGTTAACCTTAATGTTGTCACATCATGATACACTTGCTAATATTTGCACCTCAATACCCTTACAATACTTTGGGAAGACCACATGACACACATGTGCAGCAAACACAACAGGGTAAAACACATTCAAAGTCAAGTTCAACACTTTGCTTCTTCACTTGAAGTCAAAACCTTTTTTTTTAGGGGTTAGAAACATCCTAATTCATGTTAAGACAAAGTCTGTTAACGGTAAACATGTGTCTGTGCCTTCAAGGGTTTTGTACCAGAGATGAATTTCTACATTTTCAAACTGTGGATAATCTACCTAAATGAACATCGTCCGATTTTTTTCTTTTTTCTTTTTTTGCTGAATAGCAACGACTGTCTCGTATGCCAACAGTGCCGGCTGCTGCACATGGAAACAAAACTTTTGTTTACTCTCAATCTGGACTGCATCATTTCAGGGAATAATGTGGTGCATCGTCATTTCAAGCTAAATCACACCCCCTGGTGGTGACATGGAAGCACAACATATCTCACAATGGAAGTTCATATCAACCTTTTTGAATTCTGTTCGTTTGAGACATACTCTGTTGATAACTTTGTTTGTGAATCAGTGAACTTCATCACGCAGCATGTTTGTATGTCTCTGTTTGGTGCAATGTTTTTTAATTGCCTAGTAGTCTTTTATAATAATAATAATAATAATGGGATAAGAGGTCTTACAACTAGATCCACTACAGAAGCCAGAAACATTGTTTATATCATAAATGGTCTTTTATACATGCCGCATAAGACTGTAAATTGAGGTGTTTCTCCCATAGGACACAAACTACAAACATTTGTTTTGGTTTTTTTTTGTTGGGGGGGGGCATTTAGACATTTGTGATTTGATGTTGGTGCCTTTCAGGCTAAAGCCGTTACTTCTGAAGCTACTGTTCCATAATCAGGGACTGCCCATGCAGACCCAATTCATCCCTGTATACAACTGACTGTGTAATAATTACTGCTAAACAATTTTAAAATTAAAATATTTGTTTTCTAAACATGTGCTCCTCATCCCTGTGTCATATAGCACGATATTATCCATGAAGAAGTCCTCTCCTTAATGTCATGACAACTGCTAAAGACGTAACATAACCACTCAGACAGAACATGGCTCCATTAGCTTTGTGTTTATTATTGTTTTCATACACTGCACATAACAATAACATAGTTAAATACTGTAATGGAGATGTTTACAATACAAGAAAACCATTTTCAAATAGTCAAACCAAAGAAATGAAGAATCACCCGCATCTAAATGTAAAAAAAATAAAATAAAAAAAATAATGAATGTTCTTGGAATAAACTAAACAATCAACATGGCAATAAATACACACATCTTTTAAACTTCTCTGTACTTATTAAGGCATACTCTAATTGCAAATAATCAGCTGATTTAAGCGAGGGAGATGATATTAGTGCTCCGAGTCGATCAACTCTGATGTTGCAATCACAAAACAATTTCCAACGAAGTCAGTAGAGATGGATAGATGCTATGGCACCTTTTTAGTGGCTGTATGTGTGTGTGTGTGTGTGTGTGTGTGTGTGTGTGTGTGTAGTGTGTAAGACAGGAGGTGGTGCATCTTTCTCGTGTCTGAACCTGTGTGCACCCTAGATTATCTTTGAAGTGAAAAAACAAATGTAATAGAGGGTTACGTTTTTTGACACGAAAAGAAGATATAGTGGGGGGTAACACAACAGTTGCTGAAAAATCTATCTGGAGACCCCCCCCCCACTGTCCCTTTGGCCTTGATCATATATATGAATATATGTGAGTGAGCATTTTTCATCTTCCCTTCTGACACAGTTCATTTCAGATAAGACACTGTCACTGCGTTGCAGGGAGGATTCACAGATATGTAAGGGCCCAGAAATAAATTTAAAAACAACTAAAAGTGCAAATTCAAAACAATTACAAGTCAGGCTAGTTTCATAACAGCAGCATGTGATCTCACAACAGAAATTAGGCCAAACAAATCTACCTTTCTATTCCCCATTTAATCACTCAGTTCAATGTTCCTCGTGCAGTTTTTTTCCTCGACCATTCATACATTCGATCCCAAAACCCAGAACTGAAACATCTCGAGCCAGCAGGCCCGATAAGCAAAAGTGTAGAAGGTTGTGTAGATGAGTGCAACGGCCTGGCCTGTGCTACATAACAACCCTGTACAGGACAGTATTTCTACAGCACAGCCTGTGTTTGGGCAATCAAGACCACAGTCCAAGCTTCTAAAATATCTCCACATCAACACATACAATCATACTGAACACAGGTTAAAAAAAACACGAGCATTTAGAAAAAATAAAACTAAGTTAAGAGGTGAAATGCAACCCAGAATCCAGGAAAGCAGAACAGTTGAGTCAGCAGGTATGACAATATTTCTTGTAGTTTTCGAGTTGATGGGAAACACTTTTTTTTTGTTTTGTCTACTAATATCATCGTTACATCTGGAGAAAGGTTCTTAAACACAAGTGCTCGTCCTACCATAGGAGGAAACCACCACTTTAACTTATTTTGTAATACATATTGAATATGTATTTCATCTACTACATGTTAAACCAAACTTTTTTTTAATATTAATTTGATTATTCCTCATTGTCAGTATCATCATAGCACTTAACTGTTGTTGCAATATTTTACCAACGATCATCGGCGCCACTCTGGCAGCAATGTAAACTCACAGCAGATGAAGATTGGGGGTTATATTGTGTGGAAAGAGGGAGAGGCAAAGGGTTGAAGGGGTGGGGTTACTGTATTTGACAGGTGGTGGAGGAGGTCGCCTGGCAGCACATGCAGGTAGGGTTGACTGATTTGGGCGGGATAAGATCCAGGTCCTCATCATCAGGGATCTCATCGAGCCGGTAACCATCTTTCAGCAGCTGGATGTTCAGATCCTGATTGATTTGCTGGAGAAGGGAGGAGAGAAAGGTTCATGGGTTAGAGCAGTGTTCCCCAAACTAGGCTGTGAGCCAGAACCGGACTACAGTACACTTCAAACTGGACCCATCCATGGCCAGGTCAGCGGGCCTATAGCAAGCTAGCTAGCTTATTGGTTAGCTAACCACTGAAATACAGTAAAATCTAATATTTTGGTCAGAGTTTGAATTCTGGTCTCAGATTTAACAGCACCAGTCAGGTTTAAATAAGCCTTATCTCAGTTTCAAGCTCAAACTCTGTCAGCATCGTCCTGTTTCTATCTGGCTAACAGGACTAAACAAACAAATAAACAAACTAATGTAAGACAAAATGAGACAGAAATACAGGCAATTTCAGGGGAAAATGGTAATTGGTTTTCTGGCTGAAGTTTAAATGTGACTGATCTTTTTCTTATTTACAAATGTTAAATAATTTTGAGCTTTTATACATTTTGAAGTTGTAACCATGGCAAACTGAGTGATGGCATCCCTAGAGCTGGAATAAGATGAATACTGTCCTAGTGATATATTACCATGCCTTTTTTGTTTCTTTTTTGTGTGTCTTCATTCAAAATCCAAGTATTTTTTATTGTTACACTGATGCTACTGTGTATTGCTTGCTCAAAACTTGCTGTTGTTAGGTGGAACTAAGAAAGACGTTATTTTAGTCTAACTGGATTACAACATATATATATATAACATATACACATAATATATATATATATTACAACAATAATAATTGTTTCTGACAAAGTTGCATTCATCCACTAAGAATCCAAAGCCTTACAATGTAGGATATAAAAGGCCTTAAAAAGACTTTAAAGGTCTGTAAAAAGAATACCTCTGGGGATATATACTTATATTGGTGCAGACACCCAGAGATGATATTTGATTTATATCCTCCCTGTGTGTTTGATACAAGTGTGTGTGCAGGTGTGTTTGAAATCAAACCACAACACTATACACACCTATAGAATTACTATGGATGTGTGGGAGGATAAACTGTAAATAGGTTAACTTCAAGACTGGCTTATAAAATGATGTAAATCTTGGCCTCTCAACGGTCAAGGAAACTGAAGAGAAGAAGGCGAAGCAGCGATGGAATGAGAGCATAAATGTGAGGTAAAGAAGAAGGCTTTTGCTCTCTCACAGATCTCACCTCTGCCGAGGAGTATCCCGACGAGGAGTATCTTGACATGTCAAAGTCATCATCACTGAAATGACAACAAAACAGTAGTTAACTTAACTTGTTTGTGATTGTGATGTGAATGCTTCAATGTGTGTATTGGTGTTTGTGTTCACCTGTCTGTGTCTAGGGCCACCAGGGGCTTCTCATCAGGACTCTGGTCTAAAGAGGAATAGCCTTTATTTGGCACTACCAACCTATGAGGAGGAAACAGAGAGAGAGAGAGAGAGAGAGAGAGAGAGAGAGAGGGAGGTAAAAGAGGAGGAATCATCAGAATAAAGGGAGTAACATTATATGACAGGAAGAGGGGAAGGAGAGGTGGATAAAGGAAGTAGATAAAAAAAACAGAGAGGTGGGTTAGAACATAGATGTTGAAAGAAAAGGACAGGCAGGGCCTGGAGGCAACATCACATCTGAACTACAGCAACAACATCATGAAAGAGCTCTCTCTCCTAACTCTTACACAACTTCAATCAATAAAAGATATTCTCATCTCAGCTTCACTGATAGAAATTAGACATTAGAGTAAAATCCATCTTGTTTAGCACACGTTCAAATTGATTGTTTTATAGCATTTGTATGCCATTCCTCAAAAAAGCACCATATAATGTGCACATTTATACACAGCCCTAAACTCATATAATGGGCAAACAAATGTTTCATTTTTGCAAGAACCTAAAACCACAACTTCAAATCCTTACCGTGTTCTGGCCATGACGTTGTTCTTCTTAGGCTGCTGGTTGACTGGACTTCCTACAGTGTTGCCATTCTTCAGTGAACCCTTCCTGGCCAGCTCTCTTTGTTTCTCTGCATAAAAAGACAAACAAACAGAAACCTTTCCTTTAAGACTTACAGGACATACTAACTGTAACACATTTCTTAATGTAATAACCTTTTTTATTTTGCTGATAAAAACACATATCCACTTTTTCTTTATAAAAAGGTGCTCAGATTTAAACTGAAACTCATCAAGAGCTGTGATATTCAGGACATTGGGATTCAGGATTGGGTGAAGTCGTCATGAATATCATATATAACTGCAGACTTTGAAGAAAAACAACAAGGTGCTCTGTCCATTGGTTGGATTTTATTCAGTGGTCAGCTGACCAGGAAGTGATGATCACTGCAGTTAGGACCTCAAGGGCTCATTTCATCTAAGTCATACATTTGAATTTAAAGGGGACATATTGTGAAAAATCCACTTTCACAGTGTTTTTGAACATATATTTAGGTAAACTGAGTGACTACCAATCCACAAAATGTTAAATGTGAAATAAACCCATCCAGTCCTCTTTTTGTGGTCTGCATAAGTCTTACAAGAAGAAAAAATGCTACGTTTCAAATTTGCTCTCCTTGTGATGTCACAGTGGGATTCTGGTAGAAAAAATACCCTCCCCTGGTATCTCCACCCATGGACTCCACCCCCAGCCTAGAGCAAAACTTTTGAGCATTTTTATAATTCACCATTTATATTTTGACCAAAGCACAGCACAGATGTTTCATTTAGAACATTTTGAAAGGTGGAAAAGGGGTATAATATATCCTCTTAAAGAAAGCACAAGACAAAATATTCACAGGCAACAGACTGTTCATGTGACATTAGTAACTCTTACATCCCTCTCTCACTTATTCAGAATCAGTTTTAGAAGACATTTAATATAAATGTAGTCTTTTCCAGAGTGACTAGGTTTGAGTAATTACAGAAACATGCTCAGATTGTGTTTATAGTCAAACTATAACATTCTGACTGAGTTTACTTTCAGGATAAGTGACGTTTGAGATTTAACAGCTTGTGAAGTTAAACTATAGTCATCACTGTTGTGTACTGGTTGTTATGTAGCACAGGCCAGGCCATTGCACTCATCTACACAACCTACACTTTTGCTTTCTGGCACTGCTGGCTTGAGATGTTCTGGATTTTAGGATTGAATGTATCAACATGAACGGCTGAGGTAAAAACTGCATGAGTAGTTAATAAAAAAGTAGCAACAAATTTACATTGTATCACACTTATGGATTCTGGGGTTTTTTTTGTTCATTTGTGTTTCTAAACTTCATTTTTTATAGCCTTGGTTCTTGAAGGCTTTGGTAATGAAAGTATTACAGTGAGAGTAAAATAATAGAGTATCGCTGCTACTCACACTAAACTCTGTCCAAGGTCCTGAAATGTGTCTGTAGGACTTAAGCTTTTCATAAAGCCTACACAAGAAACCGAAATTCATAAACATAAATAAACCAGAATACCAATGAGCCTAACAATAAAATAAAGTAAAGCCAAATCAATCAGTCAGTCAGTTAATTATGAGCTTTGCTAATGGATTCTTTGTTCAACCTACTTTTCATCTTGACATACCAAATCTTTGCTACTCCAAGGCCTTACTATGTGGGAATATTTATGTTTTCAGGTTTTTAATTAAAAAAATTAAATAATCATGTTTTCAATGTAGAACTTTAGGATCAGTTCATTTTGGAAACTCAAGATTTTTGGATAATTTCAATGGCCGATAACTGTACTTTTTTGACATTGGTTAAGAAGCACATAAGGATGATTCTCGCAACATACCAGTCCATAATATTCCTGCTCTGTCTTGTTATTGGAACACTATGAAAACTGATCTTCACAGCTCAGATTCCATCACCGTATGAAATAATTTGTCCAAGCACAGGTCCACCATCTCTTAACACTTCCTCTAATTATATTCCACATCTGCACAAAACAGTTACTGTATTTGCCGTCATTTGGACGACAAATACAATATTATCAAACACCATCTGCTTTTACTCACCTATTTTCATCTGCAGGGGAGAGGGCTTGTAGTTGATAGTGACAGGTTCTCCCTCTCTGGTGTCAGAGTCCGCCTCAGATGCTGTGGACGAGGCTGGGTCCTGAAAACGAAGGAAGGGCAGACGGCATGAATAGAATGATGAGCTGAATTGAGCCTTACTGGGGCATCAATGAATTATTAATGTCTGTTTGTGATGCACAATAGAGCGTACTATGCCCAGTCTATGTGAATAAAACGATTCATAAATACATAAAACATGTGAGGAAGAGGGCCCTGTTTTATCTAAAGGGATAGTAGGGTATGAAGCATAACAGGGATAGCTTGTTAGACAAATAATCAGTCTTTCATACTTACTAAGAACTCAGTAACATAAACGTTGACTTTTTATATACCTACAATGGATAAGGTAAAATTCATGAAAATTATAATACCTTCCACTCTACTATGTAAATGCAACATATTGATCTAAAAATGATCCTATCTTTGCTCATGTTACACTGGGCTCTCTGGGAGGACTCTTGGGAGTCCCTGGACCCCAGAAACATTCCTAAAAAATGTAAATTAACATCCATAGGTGAAAGCAAAAGACGAAAATGGTCTCACTAATCAATGGCAACAAGAGGCACATTGATGAATGGAGGTATGTGGACGCCTGAAGACAGCAGGTCAGTCTGATGTGGGTCTATTCTGGCTCTGTAGCGGGAGCAGAGGCCGCCCCTGCAGGCTGCAGTAACCCGGGGCCCCGCTACAGGCCACAGAGCGCACAGCCACACCATGCACACTGATTTCTTTTTTTCATCAAGAGATTGAAGTTTTTTTTTTTCCCAGTTCACACTGCCACATTTCAGCTATTAAACACCGCTCGCTAACCACGTCACAGCGACACAAGTTGAGTCGAATCCAGAGAGCCTTGCTGCATGGATGCTGGGGATGTAGCAGCAGTGAATGCTGGGATGGGACGCTTGTTTTCGCCAGACACGACGGATGCTGCTCACTACGCAGCAGACCGGACGCTGCTTACATTACACAACAAAACGTCAGCCTACAAGCAAATCTTAAGCTCTGACATGTCCTGATGTATCTTTGAGCATTGGGCGAAACAAGTTCTTGGAAAATGCTCTATTGCTTTCTCAGCCGATATTACGCATGGCATGCAGGTGATGGATTTGTCGGCACCCCAAAAGCATAGCAGCCTATTATAACCAGCAGGCCTCGCGCAAAGATGCCTCCTGGATTAATCTAAATAATGTCTTTGATTTCAAAACGCGACTGCAAACACCGATAAACTATCTGAATGTGACTTACCAGCGGCTGCATCTCTGCCTGCATCTCCGCCTCCTGCACGGCGCTCGGCACCTGAAATCTGTCTATTTCTTCCATCATGTTGGCCACGCGTCTCTGTCCTCCCTTCTCCTACAAACTAAATGTTGTTGAGTTGGAGTTTCGACGAGATATCGCCGAGATTGCCTGATTTTAGATTCGTAACGATCTCTGTAGTTCTCCGCTGGCGAGCTTCATCCCAGCAGGCAGTATGTCGACGGTGATGTGACTAGTTTGGTGACGGCGACTCCACCACCCACTTCCGGGTAGAGCACCCCAAGCTAGGGTCCGGGGACCCAGAAGCAGCCTTTGGAAGAGGACCAGTCTAGTCTACAGCAAAGTGGGGGGATGGATACGATATTGAATATGATAAAATATAATAATATAACATTAAAAATAGTATTGTTATGTTAATCAGTGTTATTTTTTGTAGGCCTATCATGATGTAACCTAATCAAATAGCCTTAAAGTATATTACTTTTTACATGTTCAGTCAAACTTTCATGGAAATCTTCATTGAACATAAGGAGAATTTCAGTCCGAAATATTTTTATTTTTATTTTTGGAAATCTTCAAAACTTTCAGGAATTTTTACTTGAATTATGAGGGATTTTCCTGGAAATTCTCAAAAAGTGTCAAAATATTCCGTAGTAGCCTATTCCCTGGTTATTTCACCTGAATCGCCACAGGAATGTTCCAAACGGTCCACATGAACTTGAAACTTATATGGAAATCTTCATGGGAGTTTGAGGGACTTTGGGTCAGAAATATTGAAAAACTTCATGGAAATGTACTTATTCCAAAAAAGTTTATTTTCACAGAAACCTTTAGGAATTTGCAATTTTCCTGGCAATGTTCAGGGATTTTTAGTTAGTTAGTTAGTCGAAATATTTCTGTTAATTATCCTGGGAAGTGAATTAAATTTTCATGGACATTTTACAAATATTTCCACAGGGGGATATTTTCAGGAAATTTTGAAGAATTTTCCTTGAAACCTTTTGGAATTTTCATCATATTTTTTTAATGAAATTAAATGGAAATATTTGCACATTTTCTTAAGAAGTGTTTCTGGAAACGTTAGAGTTTTGAAAATAATTGTAATGATATTGTAATTTTGCCTTGAAATGTATGAATTATTTTCCTGATTCTGGGGGCATAAAAATATCAGTGTTTGGTTTGTCTAGACAAAGTTAATTTTGAATACAAGCTGCTTACTCCATTTGGCTGGAAGCTTATTACCGTTCTAAGTTGTTTGGTGTGTCAGAGCCCTCTGCTTGATGATTCAACCCTTTACGTTCCAGCTCAAGAAGTTCAACAGGCTACCAATTTTGTTTAGAAGAACATGTAGCTTTGTAACAAACATAACTGCAAAACTGCAGGTATTGTCATTTGCTTTTTTAAGTTGCTTTATGCAACATACATTAGATGTTGTAATCCTCCACCACAGATCTGCTGACCACTGTACTCCACCTCCCTCATTGTAGGGCTTTAGGGATCAGAAGATCTTTTATTCTGTACCAGTGCGGACAGAGAATGACAGGGCTCGGTCTCTGTCCCCAGCAGTTTAGCTTCTAGTGAGCAGTGGTCTCTGTCGATCTCTGGTGGGGACCTCATTGTCGCCTTCCTAAAGCAGCAGACCAGAAAATACTTTTTAGGGCCCCCACCTTCAATAGACTCTGCCAGTCCTATTATACATAGGTTTTGCCGCCTGCTTTGGCCCTCCAGGTTGACTTTGGTTTTAGAGTTTTCTCAGAATAGAGTTGGTTTTCTAGTAAGACTTGTATTGTGGATTTGTCTATGTGGTTCTTCAGTTCTTTTTCTGCTTTATGTTGGATTTTAAGTCGGACCTTTCGTTGTAGAGAAAGCTAAAAAGATTAACTAAAAACAAGATCTTTTATTGAACAGAAAATCACTGCACGGTGAACATCAGAAGTGTTTAGTGCCATCTTGTGGGTAAAGGATAACAGGTTCAAAAATGTGACTCCCTTAAATTTTCCTACAGGGGATGTCAGCACATTTGGTCTGTAATTTTCAGCATTTTCTGGATCTTTTCCTGGTAAAAATAAAATGGTAAAACCAATGTTATCTTCCACTTATTATATATTTTTCCCTCTGTCCATATCTTATTAAAAATCTGTAAAATTACTATTAATACTTTTTCAAGTAACTGTCTGAACATGAAATAGCTAAGGGTGATAGTGACCTAGAGCAGAATGTCTGCTGCCCTCTAGGACACTTACCATTTCCATCCATCAATTATCTATACCACTTATCCCACCGGCTGGGGGGCTGGAGCTGATTTCAGCTGTAAATTGGACAAGAGGCAGGGTACACCCTGGACTCAATCACAAGGTCGACATATAGAGTCAAACGAGAAGCCACACTTCCATTCACATATGGACAATTTAGAGCCACACATTAATGAGCATATTTCGAACCAGGCACTTTCTTTCTGTGAGAGGACAGCACCAACCACTGCTCTACCATGCAGTCCCCTTTTTTCCCATAAAGTGAATTTCATATCTATCTCTGAGCTGGCTTCACCTTTTCATTGGTTTCACCTAATTATTTTCTTTGTTTATGTAACATTAAGGTGGTTTGCACTGTGAACATTGGAAAATACTCTTCCTAAATGATTAGCTTTTACCAAATCTGTTCTTGCTACAGTGTCTCAACGAGAAGGTTCAGATATTTTACTGGTTACTCTTTTCCTGCTCATATTTTTAAACATATTTAACACTAGGTCCATATCTCTCTCTCTTCCAATAGTTGAACTGAACGTTCTGCAGGTATCCTTTTGGCTGTTTTGTTTATTTTATGAGCTAGAGCTCTCTTTCTTAAATATTCAACTTAATTGATTGTATATTAAGATTATTTCTGAGGTTTTTAAGAGCATGATTTCCTTTTCTAATGGTGTCACAAACACTGCATTCCTCACTCCACCATGGCACTATTTTCTTATTTCCTGTTATTGCAGTTTTTGGGAACCCTCAGAGGCAGCTTCTTAAAATATCTGTCATTTTAACATTGTGTCAAAACCCATAAAGTTACCTAGGTCATGTTTTGTTTCTACCCATTTATTTAGTATTATTGTCTGTTCCTGTTTTATTTTGTTCTTGCCCTTGTCTGTGTTTTCGCCATCATGTAGCCAGTTAGTAGTATGTTCCTTGTGTCGCCTAGTTCCAGCCTTTTCCTTCCAGTGAGCCTTCTAGTGTTTTTCACCTTGCCTGCCTTCTCGTTGTTGTCTTTTGCCTGCCGTTTTTGGATTTGTTTGCTCCCATTTATGATTACCTGTGTACCGACCTGTACTGGATTAAACTCTGCTTTACTACTGAACTATGCCTCGTGTGAGCCTGCATCCTTTTATCTGTCTGGTTCTGTTACATTGCTGTCATCCATCCATATAACTGTTTATTTTTATATTATTTGCTGTCTTAATATGCTTTGCTTAGTATGGCCTTTATAAGGTAAAAATAAGCAAAGCATATTAAGATTATAATTCATGTTCAACGCCTCCCTAACCTAATATCAGTAAGCACTTATTAGGAGGATATTGAGAGCAAACTTTTAGGTAATGGCCTATTAGCTATAGACTATGGTCATGTTGAATAAGGTACTAATAAGTGCTTAATAATGACTAATAAAGAGCCAACTGAAATACACATCTATAGTAAATTGTGAATGCTACGTCCAAATGAAACTCATACAATGTGAGCTATCCAGTCGTGCCCGACATTGTGGCCATAAATCATGAGCTTTTATAGTGTCACTGTCCCTATTTTGAATTAATTAAAAGTCATCTCTCACTGTACGACTGAATCGTAAATGATTCAGCTGTACAGTGTGAGCTGACGTTTAATTAATTCAAAATAGGGACAGTGCATATTAATAAACATGAACATGTAAATATGGCAGATTGTAGCCATAGGCTAATTTCCATCTGTAGTCCTGTGGCAGGTTGGTTGTTCTCATATACAAATTAACATATAACAATGACAGACAAAAAACAAACAACAGTAATGATCACACAACATCATCAGAGTTTTACAGAGACACATACAAGCATAAAAAGTGGCTGTGCCATGTTGTTCCAAACAAACAAGGAAGTGACCTTCAGAGCTAAAGTGCATTAAGTGCATCAAGTGCTGGAATGTTAAAGTGCTGGAGTATTGCACATGATTATGAGGTGCTGGTAATCCAACAGGGAATCCCAAACATCTTCTTCACTTCCCAGAGACACGATTGCTACATTCAGAATACAGTTGTTTGTAGTAATGAAAAGGCAAAAAGTGGAGATTTCAGTCTTTGAATCAAATTAACCACATCCAAACTGTGTCTGTTTCTTTTTTCTCAGGGGAAACTGTGAAATCCATATGTGACTTTAGCAATGCTTCATCTCAAACAGTGACTCCAAAGGTAGAACTGCAACAGAGACCAGTTTACTACACCATCGATAAGAAGCACAGTACAATTACATTCAAAAATTGGTGTTTGTAACCGGACATCCCATCAAAGCTCACACCTCTGCCATGCACAATGAGATCATGCTATCTCCTCTTTTATGTGTCCATCAGCCTCCAGCTGCGGCATCCAGGAAGTTCAATACTTCAGTAAGGTGGGTGACCGATTGTGTGACAAACAATCCAGTTTTGTGTCTTCGTTTAGATTGTTGTAACTTTTCTTTTTGTATTTTTATTCCTTCTTTTTATACATTAAAATGTGATGTCTCCCTGTTATCAGTCACAATTTTCAGTATAACATTGTAAATTGATACAACCACATCATGGATTTCAAGTCTGTTTTTTCTTTTCTTTCTTGTGCTTGTTTTAGGTGTGCCTCAGTACAAGACCTCTGACCTCATTATGCTGATTCCTGTCATCATTTGTGACACTTTTATAAGTGCTCAACCTCCACCTTTTTGTGAGTAAATGTTTGAATATCTTAAATTATTTTTAACATATCCAGTAATGTATGATGATGTATTTCTGTTTGGCAACGTATATTTTCAATCTGACTCAGTTCTGGGGTTGATAAGAAAACATTTTCAGCTGTGTTTTGATTTGTGTATGTTTATATACATATTTCTTCTTCCTTACACATTCTACCTCTTTTTTTTTTTTTTATATGTTGTGTTTCTCAATGTGTTTTCATTTAGCCACTTCAGACATTTTTTCACTCCCTTTGTTCTTGCACAATGGTGTTTATTTTGGTACCTTTATTGAAGTAGCCCTTCTTATAACCAACAAATTGTTCACATTGTATTAGACCTCAGATCCTTTCATGACAACTGTGCATTAATGAGACCTGTTATGGTATTTGTTTGTGCTATCTGGGTGTCAAACAAATTCTGCAACAGCCCTGTAAAAAAGTTCTGCTGAAATGACACCTTTGAACGAACACATTAAATCTGCTATGGTGAAATTTTGGTGTCCAGTGTGTGTATTCACATAGCATTACGGCAATAAAGAAATATGCAATTTAAATGGACTCTTTTTAGCTTTATCACAGTTCATGCATCCAGCATGCCTGAATATTCACAGATGTAAGATTGATGGCGGTTTTTATTTCTTCCAAATAGCCCATGCACATATCAATTTACAGACTTATGTTTACAGTTTAAATTTACAACTTAACTGTGTGTTCAGATTATCTCAGGGTTTGCAAAAATTAGATTTATGAATTGCATATTCACTGACTTAACGCTTTGCCATGTCTGTTGTGCATACCGACTAACTTTAAAGGATAGGGATAATGTTTGTGTGAAGTGAAATTAAACGTTGAGGGTTTTGCATCAAAACGTTTTGTTTCATTAGGCTTATACAACATACTGATTTCACTTTTTTACAAGCGCCCCTTGGCCGAAAACAGGGATCACTATTCTTCCCAGTAGGGGGCTCACAGTTTGATGGTGAGGAGCAACCTGCCTTTAATTTACCTACCTCCTAAGCTTTCTCTCTTTTGAAAGTCTTGTTTGCCCCTTTAATTGATAAAGTGCTTTTTATTAAATCTAAAGTTGCCATGGTGAGCCTTATTGGGGTTTTAAAATGGATCACAAAGAAATAGGATTAATCTCTCCAGACTGGATAGTAAAATTTGATTTGGTTTGATATCCTTTATTAATCCCAGAGGGAAATTCAGTTTACACTCTGTTATTTATAGGGACATGCTTCTCACACACATAGGCCTGAATTACACACATGCACAAACAGGACCTGTTGGACACGCCCACACAAGCTGTTACCTGTGGTAGCAAACAATGCTTGACTGAGCATACATTTAATTATTTTTTATAACTGCCTCACCAATTAATCAAGGTGACTCTTACATTAAATAGACATCATTTTTCTTTCTCATAAGCATTTGATGTTCCTAGAAACAATATTTTTTGTTCACTTTCCGATAGTCAAGTTCTACACTTTGAGCAAGATTTATTGCTATGTTAATACCCAAGCCAGAGTGACTATCAGCAGCATGTGACACACCTCCTGACACATAAAACCTCAGTCCCTTCTATTTCACCGAGCACTTGGCTTGGTGGTCACAGAGTTTGTTATGTCGAGAGATTTTAAGATTTCAGTGGGATATAATCCCATAAACAAAAGTAACACTTTCACTAGTGGGGATTACATCACTGGAAATATAACATTAAAAGTGAAAAAAGAATGCAAAATAGAGTCCCTTGGTATAAAGCTGAAGGGAAAAGCAGAAGTCAAATGGAAAAAATCTTCTGGCGAATCGTCCAAAACCTATCACAAGAAAGAGAAGTACTTCAGCATCAAGCAAAATGTAATTGAGGCAAGCCAGGGTAAGTGTTCTGCTTAAGTTAATTTTTAAGCTATCCTAGGGTTAGGGTTAGAGTAGGGTCATATCTTCTATCTGTATAGTTTGCCCTCCTTTTTAACTATGTGACATCATTTGTCAAGATTTTATATTCAGCTCTCTGTAGCTTTGCATCATGAAACATGGGGAGGTCATTTTCTGATTTGACTGTGGCAAAGTTATTACAATTTTCCAACCATAGTAATTTAATCAAATATACTGTACATTATGTCATATATTTTTTTTTTTGCTCTTTACTTTTAACTGTGTATAACAAATAGTAAACAGGTTTTTAACAAAAACAATTTGCCCTTCAATTTTCCACTTTTGTCATATTGATTATTTTGCAGAGTTTTAACCTTTCCCAGAGGCATTCATTAATGAACTGATAATAAACCTCTCTTTAAAAATAATGGAAGCTAAATTATGTAATTTTATTGCCTTTCAGGTAACAACATTGTGGGCCAGGGCTGTCATGTCTACCCATTCACCTTTCAAATTCCGGCACAGTAAGTTTTCACAAATCAAACATTTAATCCACAACTATACTTTATTGTGATTAATCATGTATACAGTTGTAATGATATGTAGTTCTTCTCTATCCTCTGTGAGTATCAACCTTTGACTGATTTCGTATATTGCTACTGAAGAGGTGTCAAAAATTCATAAAAATGTTTTCCCTTCTTGAAGAGACCTGCCATCATCCTTTAAAGGCTCCCATGGAAAGATCCGCTACACTCTGGAGGCAATTCTAAGCCGGTCAATGAGAATGGACAGCAAAGCCAAGGCTGAGTTCACCCTGATCAACAATGGGAACCTAAACAGTGATCCATTAGTTATGGTACCCACCTCACAACACACACGCACATCTGTGTGCTTGCTGTTTGACTTTGACACTGCTGCAGTAAGGACAAGTCACACTGTCTCTCACTGATTTGTCTTTTTTCTGTCAGGCTCCTCAGCACCAGGCCATTGACAAGAAAATTAGGCTTTTTACATCAGGAACAGTAGGGATGGATGTAAATATCACAAGGACAGGCTTCCACCAAGGTACATTTCAATCATGTTTAACCTTGACAGTGGAGTGCAGTAAAAGATCAATTCTCACATCATGTGTAGCTCAAAGTCCCTTTGCTTCCTGACTTTTTATAATGTCCATAGATAAGACAGCACCAATTTAGACATGTAGCAAGAGCAACTGCAATCAGATAATCCAAATCTGTTTCTAGGCTAAAGGGATAATAACTTGAAAACACATACATCTATGTCATAAATCTGATTCAGAAATAACTTACGAGGGTGATAACTTAAACTTTATCACCCACCAAAAAGTTTAGTTCATACACCTCAAAAGCACCTTGGATGGCTGTGATCAGCAAAATGATACTTGAGTTGTGGTATAACTGGAAGTACTGAGTCCATATACAAACGTTGTAATCCATTTCCACTCCTGCCATTATTACATCATTACAATTTTACATATATATACCTTTAAAATCGGTTTTCATATTTGGGATATAATCCAGAGATGTAAACAGCAACAGTAAAAAGAGGCACGAGTTGTGTAAAGAACCTACATGTAAAACAATTCATGTACAGCATTCTGACAAACTAAAGTGCTGTCATTTCAAATAACAATGTGGCTTTAACTTAATTTTTATGAACATCTGTGACAGTTTTATGCACAGCTTTAAAATTCCATGATCTGAGCATCATGATTTGTATTGATGATATAACTCTTGTATATTAAGTGCTAATCTGTTTTTCAGGGGAAGGCATAAAGGTTGTGGCCTCCATCCAGAACAGATCATCTCGTGAAATCAAGCCCAAGTACTGTTTGTATAAGAAGTACAGTTACTTTGCAAGTGAAAAGAGGAAAGTTGAAACTGAGGTCATCCTAAGAGAGGTGGGTGAACCCATCCCACCTTCAGCCGGCCAGACTGTCACCAGAACCATCACCATCCCGCCTGACACGGGTGTGTCTATCCTTAACTGTCAAATCATCAAAGCAGAGTACAGGCTCAGGGTGTGTATCTCTCTTTACAAAACATTTGTGTACATGCTAGAATAACGATCATACTAGGCTGCATGATAGTAATTATGTATGTCTCCACCACAGGTCTACCTGGATGTCAAGTATGCTGTAGACCCCCAGATCAAGTTTCCCATACTCATCCTACCAGCTTTACCGGGGCTTGAAAGGGAGCAGCAGCCTGCTTACCCTGACTATGGATTTGGTGTGTTTGCAAAGTACGACCAGCAAGGAGGCAACAACTTCCTACATATCCCACCATCCACAGGCCCTTCTGCTCCATAAAAAGCCGTAGAATGTATTTGGTAAATCTCAGTTAGAAAAATGAGTCTGTATTAAGAACAAACACTAGAGTCACACAAGTTTTGATGAATCCTAGTTTTCCAGAATAATGAAAAGAACTATGGGAGTGTAAAGATTGTCTTGTATAAAATATAGAATAAATAAACAACAATATTACTCCTATGTGGAGTTAGGTATCTCTCAGGCAGAATGGGATGATATGATTTCAGTAATTGTCTTTCCTAACTTGATCTTGTGTTGTTGGTGTTGTTCAATGAGTAAAACTCATTTACGTCAGTTATTTACATATGTCAGGAACAATGTGGTTTTGAATCGGGCTGATGTGGGTGTGGGCTTGTCTGGGCATGTGGCAGTACTTTAAAGCTGAACTGCAGCGCCCTCAAATGTTTAAAAAACATATCACTTTTGAGCAATTCAAGTTTTAACATTTAACAATTAAAAACAAGCTGAGTAAAAATCAACAAAGTGCTTTGTGCGTTTATAAGTCAGCTTTCCTTTCCATCCTATTCGTCTTTGTGTTTAGCATTTTAACTCTGAACTATCTAATTAAATAGATGGTTTTGCTGTATACCAGAACAGTGCCTTGTTTTTTCCCCATTTCCCACCAAAGTGCATCTCCATCACAATTAGTTATTTTGTCTTTTACATTAATATGTGTGTTTGATTTATGACTCATTTTGTGTTTATTTACATACAACAACTGTGGTTTAAGTTTACTATAAAACCATGAATTTCAAAGGCAGCCCACACACGATAAGAGGAAAAATCAATGCTTGGAAATAGTTTCACAGCAAGCATAAATTTGATCAGGTTAAATCATGCCACAGCGTTGCATGCCAGATGAATATGAATATGAATTTGTGTGTGTATCTTTTTGCAAGTGTATGCATGACACATTACTGGGGTTCCTGCAGAGCAGAGCATTAGACATTTATTTGTCAAATAGAAAAACAAAGGTTCAAACCATGACCAAAATGTCCCTCCTATAACTTGTACGGTCAAGCATGCTTTTAAACAGCCCCGATTAAGGGCAGCAGGCCTACTTTAACAGTTTGTAATGATCAGTCCTACAGAACTGAACGTGTATTTGAGTTATGCAGTCTAAAATAACAAATACATATGTCAGTAATCTCTCCATTTACAGACATTAAATGTTTCATGTTAGAGACAAACCCCAATGAGTGGTGCTTTTGTGGCCGAAGGCAAGGCAAGGCAAGTTTATTTATATGGCACATTTCAACAACAAGGCAATTCAAAGTGCTTCACACAAGACATCAAAAGCATCATGAAGGAGGAAAGAAAAGAAACATTAAAATAGAAAATTAAAAAATCACTGAAATTATTACATCTGAAAATATGTTCAAATAAAAATAATTCTAATGAAATTAATTGAAATAAATAAAGTAAAAATATAAAAAGAGTTAGAAAGGTTAATTGAATTTGAATGAATATTTTTTTGACATTTATAATTAGTTTCAATTAGCAGAGACCCGATAACACGAGAAATCTTTGTGATTTTTGCTTTGAAAAAAAAACCCACAACAACTTAAAACAACAGTAAATGAATGAGAGTGGTTTGAATAGGCCTAAATGAAAAAATGTTAATGAGATTAAAAGAATACTCTAAATAGGGCCAACATGAGAATATGAGTTTTATAGGCCCTACACATTTCCTTCTCAGGATTGGGACACACCCATCAAGGAAGTAGCCTATAGGGTGGCTTTATTAGTCCGGTTCGGGTTACAGTTACATTTCCCTCTCTTCCCGTTTAGTTTCTGAACTAGGCACACGATGTCGACCACCGTAAAGAGCCTCAAAGTAACCTATAATTCTATCAACGAGAACAATACGTTCACCAGTGGCGACTGTGTGTCTGGACATGTGACGCTGGAGGTGGCCAAAGACTGCCAGATCGAGTCCCTGATGGTCCAGTTCAAAGGGAAATCCGAAGTGTTGTGGACCGAGAGGCACGGTCAAGTCACTGTTGTGTACCACTCCAAAGACAAGTACTTCAGCATCAAACATTACTTTATTCGAGACAAAAATGCCAAAGGTAAGTCGGTAAATAAGCCTTCAGTAAATGACTGCGCTCCGCCCTAGAGTAAGACCTCTACGAAGTCTTTGGATCGCTTTTAGAAGCAGGCTGTGTTTGCAGAGGGTCGACAGGGAAAAAGAGGAAAACTTGCCGAACCAGTTCGACCTTCTCCTGTTTTTTTTTGTTTAAGTTGACACGTTGTTTATCCTACATGTTTTCTCACTGGTCTAAGATAAGATGCAAAAGCAGACATGATAATAATAATAATAATCTCGGGCAAGGTGACGTAACTTTCTTAGTAAATAGAAAAGTGTAAATAAATAGCCGATTGCATAAGATGAGCGGAAGTTTTCATTGACACAATGTAAGAAATATAGAAGTTTTTTTTTTTTTAGAACGTTATCATTGATATAAGATAAAAAAGATTAAATTGAACTAAAGTTATTGCAGGGTTTCTAGGGTTTTACTGTTTTTGTCCATCTTTGGAGTGTTATCGTTACATTTTACAGAATTTGCGATGGTTAATCCGGTTTTCTGTTTTCTGACATCTCAAGAGTAATCATTTAAAGCTGAGAAATAAATCACCCTAAATCTGCTCAATCGGTGTTCTGGTTTTTCTTCAGGAGATGACAGTGAAACTCTGCTCACCCAACACAATGGAGACACGTGTAAGTATTCTGTCTCTGTCCGTGGTGAAGCCCTCTTTTTGTGGTGGTGTGGGTGGTGTGGGGTATGAATAACAGATATAAGGAAATCATTTTAAATAGTTTGACAGTCCCTTGTTGCTTTTCAGACAGCAATGTTGTTGCCCCAGGATGCCATGTTTACCCGTTCACCTTCCACGTCCCTTTGCAGTAAGTGATGTCACATACTGCAATATTCAAGCAAACAAAATGTCTAAATGTGATACTTGCATATTTTAAAAGCTCGGCCAAAGGTTTAGCATTTTCTGTTCATTTTCAATGCATAATAAATATCTAGTGAATTGTCATGTCTGCTCTTGTCCTTCAGGAGCATGCCCTCCTCCTTTAAAGGTTCTGTGGGGAAAATTACATACACACTGAAAGCTGTACTGAGCAGATCAATGAGGGTTAACCAGAAAGATAAAACCAACATCAACCATGTGTCAAATGCAGATATGAGCAGTGACCCAGTTTTAATGGTAGGTGCTGATTTATGATTTCATTCCGACAGGCGCGTCTCACCCGTGGGTGTTGTGACACCCACACTTTCACTGAAACGTAATTTCATCCCCCACACTTCTTACCAGTGGAAGTCATTGATGAAAACTTATTGGTCAAGTAAGATTTATTAAGTGACAATTAAGCCAATCATAGCTGTTTGGTTACAGTTGAAGCACAGTAAAGTTACATTTGCATTTAATCCTCCTGTCACTCATCACTGAGTCAGAGCTCAGAGCTAACAAATGGAAACATGCTACATGTAGCATCCTTCTGAAAGAGAGTTAGTCACCCAAACAGATGTTTTTAAGATAAATCCACCTCACAAAACAACGTACGTGTAACATTTTCTCCTCTTGGTTGTTCTTTTAGCTGTATTTATTTACTCCCGTAACTTTACGATGTAGCGGAAGTCCTCTTTGCAGTTTTATAAAATGCACATTTTATATGAAGACCGGAAATAAAGAGACTGAGGCATAAGGCAATAAGAAAAGCAAAATAAAAGCATCACAGAGCAGTTTTGAATCTTGTTTTTAGAGCTAACTGGGTTACTAACAATGGATGTTCATAAAGTTAGTGTCTAATTATAATCTTTTGTAACTTAGTCTTGTTGTATGATGTGTCAGCTAACATTAGTTATTAGACATTAAATGAATCAGAATGTGTTGATTTGCTAGAGGGTGGTAATATACTAGCATCAGAACATCTGCACTTTTAAAATCGCTGCTCCACCCCTGCATTCCGATTATTCTTACAGGGGAACCAATCTGCTTGAGCTGTTGAAGGCTGCACAATGACTGAAGTCTAACCCGTGTTTAAAACCTGCACAGAAGGGTATTGAGCATACGCATAACCTGAAGTTAGTCCCAGAAAATATTTATTTGACTGATTATCAGCATCCAGAAAGCCCACCATTGCCTGTGCAACAACACTTCAGTCACAAACTGAAATTTAAATGTTTACCATGTTTCAAGTTCTTTGTAGAGATTTCAATATCTCACTGATACATAAAAGTATACATGGGCTCATTTAGCGCACTAAAGAAACTGGACGTTTACAATTGAGACTCCCAAAGCTTGTAGGTTTAAGTTATTTTCAAATATTGATATGTTTTTGTACAATTGTAAAGCATTTACATCTCTGATGTTCTTCCAGATACCGCAGCATGAGGCAAAGGATAAGAAAATGAAATTTTTCACATCAGGATCAGTAGCTATGGATGTGAATCTTGAGAAAACGGGTTTCTTCCAAGGTAAGAACCACCAAGGTTATAATGACATTATAACATAATTATGACAAGTCTCTTACGAAAAGGTTGTTTAGATGTTTGTGTTTGACTTAACAGGAGAGGGAATACGAGTTATGGCCTGCATTGAGAACAACTCATCTCGAGAGATCAAGCCCAAGTACTGTTTGTACAGAAAGCACAGCTTCTTTGCCAACAGTAGCAGAAGAGTCAGTACTAAAGACCTCCTGAAAGAAGTCGGAGAGCCCATTCCTGCTTCTACTAGTGTGAAGGTATCAAAAGTCATCGCCATCCCCCATGATGCCGAGCCATCCATCCTTAACTGCAGTAACATCAAAGCAGAGTACAGACTCAGGGTAAGCATCAGTGTAACCAGGGATCCGTTTCTGAAAGAAGGTTTAGTCCGCATGAAGATAGGCTATATTTCGAGATGGTTAAACCAGGAGGAGGTGAATCGTAGAATCAGGATTCCATTCATGTTGGCTTTTATCATCGTGGTCCACGCGCTGAACACCAAGTGGACCTACTCAGAGTTGATTTAACAAATTCAAATCTGCTGATCTGGAACCAGAAACTCAGAGTTTCTGAGAGTAAATCAACTCAGAGCTCAGGATTAGACTGAGGGTTTGTTCAACCTTCTTTCAGAAACGGGCCCCTGGTGATATGTTGCTACTACAGAGGTGTGTGGATTTTTTCCATTGTGTCTTATGTAGTCGTTTTCCCAATTCACATATTCCTGATCCTGAGCCGGTTGTTCACACATGCACCTCGCAGTGGGAGACTATCTCTGTCGGACAGGTGGCCGATAAAGCAACAGAGGCCACTATAAGACGCTATAGAGAATAATTGCCTTAATGTCATTGCTATGTGTATTAACACAGAATCACAGTAACAACAAAAGAGCAGAGAAGGACATAGTTACAAAGAGAAAATGTAAATCAGCAGTTAAATTACGTGCACAGAGATGGTAGTGGTTGTGTGCCCAGGGAATAAACGTCAGCACCCTTTCCCAATTGCTCAAAGTGAATTATCCTGATAATATCCTGGTGCGTTCTCACATCAGCTCCCTCAGACTTTCTGGGGACAAAATTCAGATTTTTATCGACTTAATTACCATTTCCAGAAAATGTTCTTTTATAGACAACTTTGCAGGTTTTCCACTAACTGTTATTGTAGACACTTTTCAAAAACCTTAACACTTTCACAAAGATGATAATCTAGCAATCTACAATTGCAATAGCAATTTTTAATCATGTATCATTCATCAAATGTCATCAGAAAAATTAAACCAAAAGGTAAGTGCATTTCTTAGAAGCTGGCTCACCCTTTGATCAATCAAACTTTTTATGCTCTTAAAGCCAGCGGGTCTGGACCATTCCCTGTGGGAAATTATTTACAGATACCCAAAATTCATCCACCAAGCACTCGGCAACATGAGTGATAAAAGTGTTGGTTGGAAGTTAAATCTGTTTCTTTAGACAACTGCACAACCAGGAAGTGTTTACCAGAAGAGTTTGCAATGTAAAAAAACATGTTTGTGGCTATATTTAAATTATGGTTGTATAATCAAGCAAAAATGTTTTCTGCAGGTCTACCTGGACATCAAATATGCTTCAGACCCACATATCAAATTTCCCATTGTCATCCTGCCAGCCTCTCCGGTTCCTGCAGCTGCACTAGCACCTCTTGCTTCTGCCTTTGGATTTGAACCATTTGCAAATCCAAACCCACCAGCATGGGGGAATATACCAACACAACAACCACCAGCACACCAGTCTGCAGATCCTCCACCCTCCTATGGAGCGTACGGAATGTACCCACCTCTAACAGATTTTGGTAACGTCTATCAGTGACCAACATAAGCTGCAAAACAAATAGTGCCTCTAATGTGTGAGTAGCTCCGGTGTGACTCATTCCCAGTTCCCAAGGTAAATGGACTGCACCATGATGCCTGTCCTTTTTATTTAAAGGCACCATATTACTACAACTTTGCCAGGAAAAACAGTAAAAATGATTTATATGTTCCATAGTCTGATTTTAATAATGTGTTGAAGTTATCATTGTCATCTCAGGATTCATTTAAGACTTAATGTTGTACAATGGACAAGATAAGGGCATTCAAAAGGCAGGAAAGGTCTTATGAAAGCTGCTGCTCAGCTGCATTATGGGAATTGTAGTGTCCTATATATTTCAAGCTGAATTATACTAGTGACAGAAAGTAAGGAAGTCTTAACTTCAGCCGCTGTCATTCTTTTTATCCTTAAATATATATTTTTAAATTATCCCAGATTTGTGAGTGTTGGATTACACCTACACCCTGCATCTTCTCGTGCTTGAATGTTCTCCCAAAAAACTCCTTTCATATTGTACAAAAAACAAGCTCAGCTGTCTAACCTTGAAATTATTACTTATCCTCTTATTTTATAAGCTAAAAAAAATAGAGTATACTCCTTTGTGCATGTGTTTCTTCTTTTTTTTCCGTCCTGTATATTTCTATAATGTAGCCTTACAATAAATGTGTGTATATCATGTGTTTGAATTGCCTTGTCTTCAAGTGCTTGCTCCTTCTGTTCCACTCTTTATTAATTCTTATGTGGTGTTTGGCTCTGTGGGACCCACTGTTTGCCAAGAGTAAATATATGTGATCATTTTTTTCAACTTTTAGATGCATTGGCCATGGCTTATTTTCTGTGAAGAACGTATAAAAGAAAATGTTTTCAAACTTCCTGCTCACACTGGAATGCTGAGCATTTTTCATAGAGATCAGAATGAGAACAATTCAAATTCAGGAGCGGCTGGCTTGAACATGTAAAAGTGAGCAGTGGCTGGCTTGGCAGTGATTGGGGGTAGGGTGCAACAAATACTTTGCCTATTACAATTGATGAAGATGCTGATTAGATTCTCTGCTCAGAAGTCCTTAGAAATGATTTTGGAAAGAGAAAGAAGCGTTAGAAGATGATAAAGAGTTTTCAGAATTCTGGATATAAACATCACTCTCCTTGGCCTTACACTTGCTCGAGGTGAATTTTCCATATAATATCCTGCTGTGTTTTCACATCAGGCCCCTCAAACTTTATGCTGAAGAAATAGTAGGGGGCTGGAAGGATAAACTCTGGGTAAAGTACAAGTGGAATTTTTTTTCCGTTCACACTTACAGCTGGTCCTGCAAATATCAGGAGTTTTTCAGGAGTTTTCTGTAAGTGTGAAAGCACTACCAGACATGCTGTGATTGGCTAGTTACAAGAAAACCAACCAAACTGGTTTGCTTGATTCAGACTGAATGTTTTTTGTTGTTGAGAGTATGACTATTAGGCCTGCAGAGTTTATACACGTATCTTAAAAGGAACATTTCCAACATATTTTAAGTTATAGGCTTTGATCAAAATATTTAATTTAAACTAAAATTTGAATGAAATAATGTTGTAAACTGTAATAATGTAGCTTTAAGGGTAGAAAATGTTGGACACTTGTAAAGAAGCCAGGTTTTCCAGGTTAACTGGAGGTCCTCTGAAAGACATTTCAAAGAGATGCTGAAACATCTGGTTGCTCATAATAGGTGGTATTTGTCACATTTTCCATTCATAATTTGTCACCAGTTCACCACTGTTACACAATTATAGGTAAAGATGGCTTCTGTTTTTTCTTTTTCTTTTTGTTTATGTATTTTGTTTGAACTAAGCATGTCATGAATCTTAAAAAACTGGATCCCTTTAGTCACTTACAGCATGATAAGTTTTCTTCAGAAGTCTGGGTGTTTACTATACCCTTAGATTTGTTCTAAAATACCAATCAGCACATGTAATTAATATAAATATATACAAAGGCTAGGTTCACATGCTGTCCTTTATGCAATGGATTTTGCTAACATATGATGGATCTGATGGTTAATCACGTAGACTTTTCCTATTACTATTTCTTCTTTTTCCCATAATGTCAATCAGCACATGGAAAACGTAGTTAATGGAAGTTGCTTTGACATTATTGGAATTGTTTTTACATGACACATTTAGATAGCATAGCATGTGACAGTCATAACCCCAGCCTAACTAAACAGAATACTTTCCTCCACCCACTCAGGTTTTAGTACAGAGAGCAAATGACCAATACTTCCGCTTTGATTGTGATCCTACAGTTACACTTTGATATGTTGTTTACCCTTTTTTAGAATACTGTAACAAACTTTGCGAGGCTCAAGGCTTTTCCCACTCATTGTCACTTGGCATTTATGTTGCTTTATCTGTGTGCAAACAAGTTGGAAAAACCAGTTCAACAAGAATTGTGTGCTCGTGATCGGATAAAAGCAGAGGAGGAAGCTGTTTAGAGTTCACAAAGTTCGAGTTTGCTTCGGGTGTTACAGGGGATTTTAAGTTTCTTCTGTGTTAATAATGACCATAAAAGAATTCTCGATAGAATATGATGCGGTCAACAGCAGGAACATGTTTACAAATGGAGATACCATAAATGGAAGAATCATCGTGGCGGTTTCCAAGGAAACCAAAATCCAGGCACTTACTTTCATTGCCAAAGGAAAAGCTCGGGTGTGCTGGAGTGAACATTACGGGCAATATCACCATCATGTGTACAGGTCTAGTGAGAAATATTATGAAGTCCAACATCATATCTTGAGAGAAGGAAGACAAGATGGTAACGTATGAAATTATTATGATCATTGGTATCTGAAAGACTGTAGCTAATTCAGATCATTTTTCTATTGTTGGCCATTTTAAGTTAATGGTTTAAAGAATGATGCTTTATTTTTAAATTTTCCTCTAGGCACTGAAGTCATCGGAAAAGGAAGACATGTGTTTCCTTTTTCCTTCACAATTCCTGATAGGTGCCAAATTCTTACTTTATCTTTATTTAAGAGTTTTTTTTCTTTCTTTTTTTTTTTTACTTTAGTTGAACATTGTTTTTTACTATTTTACTTCACAGAAAGATCCCATCAACATTCACAGGCTCCATAGGAAGAATTGTTCACAAGTTAAAGGCAGAGTTGAAACAGTCCATGAAGCTGACTAAGAGGGCTAAACAACACTTTACATTCATATCCAAAGCAGACATGGACACCCCAGGACTTATGGTAAGACATCAATCTTTTTTTAAATGGCAAACATGTATCACTCAGTGTTGTTCAAGCAGAAGAGAGAAACAGCAAACTGCTTTCACTTGATGATTTCTGATCTTTTAGGACCCTCAGTATGGTCGCAAGGATAAATCTGTGAAAGTGTTTGGCTCTGGAAATGTTTCATTGGATGTTCACACCAAGCAGATGGGATACATTCAAGGTAATAATCTAATCTGAAAAGGTAATTCTGCAGAATGCTTATGAAACATGGTCTCTCCCTGTTTAACAAGGAAACAGGTATATCTGGTTTTACACAGTAAAGGCATGGATAATCATTGTTATTTTGGTAGCTGGAGAGGTGCCAGATCGCTTCCTGAGCACTGCCGAGGTGCCCTTGAGCAAGGCACCAAACCCACCACCAGCTCAGGAGCGCCTGCCGGGGGCGTCTCCGTCACTCTGACATCTCCATTAGTGCATGTCTATAGGATCCTGTTTGTGCATGTGTATATTTCAGCATATGTTTGTGTTGCATGACTTACAGAGTGTAAAAACAGAATTTCCCCTTGCAGGGATCAATAAAAGAAAATCTGAATCTTAATCTTAATCTTTGATTAAGAGCTGGTGGTAGTCAGAGCAGGGTGTAAACTAGCTGTGAGGTGTGGGAGAGAAAAGTGGGAAATCTTATTGTGGATGAGCCGCAGGTCTGACGGCAGATGCAGACACACATGGATGGAGTTGATGACAAGAGCCAGGATTAGAACCATAAACCCTCAACAGTAATGCAGAGGTATCTGACAGGAGATACCCACCCTGGAACCAAGAGTAGATTCTTCTTGTTGTGGATAAGCAGATGTCCACTGAGAGAAGTCATACTTTTCAGACACATGTTTTTTTTTATCCCCTAGGTGCTGCCCTTAAGGTGAGATGTAGTGCAAAGTGTGTGAGGAGAACAGAGCCTGAGACTTACAAATAAGAGGGAAGAGGAGAATCTGGTTGTTCACTATGTGAAGCACTGCTAAAGGGTCAAGCAGGATCATCAAAAAAAAAAAAGGGTGCAGCTGCTTTAGCACTGTGGTCCGTTGCAGCAAGTGTGGCAGTCTCAGTTAAGAATCCTGGTGGGGTTCAAGAAGCTTTTGGAGAGAGTTGGTAAAGACAGTATACTCAAGTGTATTACAACAAAGCAGAGAGAGAGACATGTCTTTAATTGTTTATACCCGCAGGGTTTGATGTGCGTTCTTTAAGAGATGGTTCACTGTAAATGCTTTAGAAGGGTTAAGGAGTTAACAAGTCGTATATGTTGGGTGAGGTAAGGGGTGAGGGTGAGGTGGGAGGTTCATGTTCATGTTCTGCACAGGTGTGTCCAATGCCTAATCAGCTGCCTCTCATCAACAGTTGGGAGGGAACGACGTTGTCTTCCTCTTCAGGAGCCGTCAGCACTGGGATTTGTAGTTTCCACCCAAACAACAAAACTTGATAACACACCTCCTGTCTACAACCAGCTCTTTTATAAACGGCAGAAATAAAGAAATGAAAACCCAAAGAACGGTCCGTAACAGCACACATGCACAAACAGAATCCATGGACATGCACTAATGGAGTGATGTCAGCGTGAGGGGCTGCACATGAAAGAGTGCCCGAGCATTGAGGGTTGAGGGTGCCTTGCTCAAAGTGCTTATGAAGTAAGCTGGCACCTCTCCAGCTATCGGCCAGTGTCCCCCTGGTTCCCAATTCAGGTCCCTACAGACTGAGCTACTGCACAAAGACGGGTTAGAGTTAAAAGCCCATTGAGAGGGAAGAGTGAGAAGAACAAGAGTTAAAGAGGAGGAGTATACTTCTCGCTTTCAACTTCTGTCTGGGTTTGAAGATTGGCTTTTGTTTCTCAATTTTAGGTGAGGCTATGCAGGTCACACTTGAAGTCAGCAACCGCTCGAGTCGTTCAGTGAAGCCCAAGTTTGTGCTGTACGAGAAAAGGAGTTTCCTTGCACAGGGTCGCAGGAGAGTTCACACAAATACAATCCTTAAGGACAAGATCAAGGATATTGCATCCTCTGACAAAGAGACCGTGACCAAGGTGATCAGCATCCCCAGAGAACTACCTCCTTCCATCCTGAACTGTGCCATCATCAAGCTGGAGTACAGGCTGAAGGTAATCCTACATTTCATTTCTCAAGCTTGTTGATTTCTGTAGCTACTGTAGGCCTTTTCAGTGTAATTGTTTTTCATCGTCTAAAATGTCTGTACTTTTAGTTATAATATAATAAACAAATCTCTTGTAGGAAAGCTCAGCAGTTCTGCTTTACATTATATTAAAATAATGGAGAAGGATCAGAGCTGCTGTGATGGAAGACTAATTTTAGATGATGACAATAAAGTTGATCAATCAATCAATCAATCAATCAATCAACCAATTAATCAATCAATCAATCAATCAAAGGCAACTAAAATAAAAAAAATATTGTATTATTAAGTATTAA